CAGTGTTACCATGTAATGTTTTTATAACTTTCGGCCTTCTCAGAATGTCTGTAATAATAAAAATAGGTCTTCATTGCTGAAGTGTTACTCTGCCTTAAAGCAGGTACACAAAGGTTCTGGATCCATCGCTGAAATAAGCTGCCTTGTTATGGTCCTCATTAAGCTCCTTCAAGAGGCTGATGTTGAAGGAACTTAGTTTGTTACATTTGTATAAATATTTTTCATCAACACGCTTTACTTTATTGTTAATATTTCATAAAATATTCGCTTTTCACTCTTTCCGTGAGACAGTTCCAGATTAGAATTCAAAAGCTTCAACATCATAGTGTTCTCAAGGGTGGCAGTTCTTGCAGTGCAAATTATTGTGAAATGTACAAGAGTTGCTGAAGATAGTTTCTATTTCAGTAAAAGGATGTACTGAGTGGGGGGGTTAGTGCTGGGTCAGATTTTGCAGGTGATGAATGGAAAGAGCAAGGAGAGAAAAACAGTTAAGAAACTAGTTAAAATTAATTTTAAAATCTGAACGGTTTCAGAGTAGCAGCCGTGTTGGTCTGTATCCGCAAAAAGAACAGGAGTACTTGTGGCACCTTAGAGACTAACAAATTTATTAGAGCATAAGCTTTCGTGGGCTACAACCCACTTGTTGTATAGGCATCCGAACAAGTGGGTTGTAGCCCACGAAAGCTTATGCTCTAATAAATTTGTTAGTCTCTAAGGTGCCACAAGTACTCCTGTTCTTTTTAAAATCTGAAGTTTCCTTATGATACTTTTGTGCAGCTTTATCTTAATATTTTCACAACGTATTTTTAAAAACCCAAAATGTGTGACTAACAACTTAATTGGAAACATGCCATTTTTCCACTTCTTGGCATGGACTTGCATTGGCAGTAATGTTCTAAGTGAAACTTGCATTCATCTGTGTAGCGTTTTGTTTCCAATGATTTCTTGTAATAGAGAACAAAAGTCACATCTGTAAATGGGCTATTTTTAAATACCGGTGGTTACATGGTAGAGTGATTACTGAACACCAGCATTGGGGCTCTTTTGAAGACTACTTATGTGGATTTGGTGGCTGGAGGACCTGCTGCTTCAGCTAAAAATAATTCCTAGATAACTGTCAATTTGCATTAAATCTACTTTTCAGTACTGAAACAAGCAAATTTTAACGTAAATGTTAATTGCGGATCTTGGCCACCTCAGTCTCAATTGTGTCCCTGGAGGACGCTGCCTTTGTAACTATTAGAGAAATTCTACAGAAGTGCTAGGTTTGAGACTTTAGTAGCAATCATTGTCTAGTTACAGCCAAGTGTCAAATTTGTAGTAGCTCATTAATTTCTGATCTGGTTTCTTCTTAGTTAGTATTGGACAAAACACTTGAAAATGTACTGTAAGGAACAGTTCCACATAGAGAGAGAGAGAGAGAGAAAAGGTCCACTAGATCATCTTGTCTATGTTCGATGCATGCTGGTGTATCTAGTAGTATAAAAGGGAACATTAACTGTGTAAAAAAATTAATAGAGGACACTTAACATTTTAAATCTTCAAACCTCCCCTCATGTCACTTGTCAGAGGACAGAATTATACCCATTTTACAGATGAGGAAACTGACAGGTTGAAACCCCTGGTCACCCATTATGTGTTTGATAGCTGAGAAGTTCCCAGCACTCAGTCCACTGCACTTTACTTTAGGGGAAGAGTTGGCTTTATATCTTGGTAGAGCACTGGTAGCTGGAATTCTACCCAATCAAGTCCAGTGAATTTACATTAAAGTAGTGAATTCCTGGATTGGATAACTTGGTCATGTTTCACATTTGCAAACTGTGTGAAGTGACCTTTGATGTTTACCTGCTCTTCTGGAAATGAGGAAAACCACTTCTAGGAACTAGGGGCAGGCAAGCTTTGTCAATGTAGAAATTATACTTGCGTAGGGGAGGAGCACTAGGGGCGCTCATTTTGCCAAGCCCTGCTCCCTGAAGCATTTCTTGCCAGAACAGTAGTAAGACATAATAAGCAATTTGTTCCTAGGCTGTTAGAGCACTCTGCTGTTACAGTACTTGGAGGCCAAAACTAAGTGCCTCTGAGCACCCAGAAAGCCATATAGATCCTACTAAGTGGAGTTTATATTATTCAGCAGATGGCTACCAGTTGGACCCCTGGCTGTGCTGGACATGGTAGACATGGATGTGAAATAGATGCATGTATGGTGATACAAGATACAACCAGTAATTCACTTAGGGCTTGTCTGCAAGGTGAATTAGTGCACAGGAAGCCAGGGTGTACAGGCGCATTGCACCAGCTTGCCATGGACTAACTCACCATATGAACACTGCTCCAGCAAGTCCCCCAGTGTTCACATGGCAAGTTAGTGGTGTGGCAAGTTGGTGTACTGTCAGTTCACGCTCTGGCTAGCCTTTGTACTAACTCTCTGTGTAGACAAGCCTTTATAGACAGTCAAACTTTAAATAGTGTATGGTACCACTGAAAATAGATTACAACGGACATTCATTCTGCACCCTCTGCTGGCAACCATCTTAATTATAAACCATTTATATTGTGGAAGGCCCTAATCCATGCTGAGCACAGAACATACATGGAAAAGAGACAAGCAGCTCTGTCAGTTGAAAAACTAGTGCGGTAGGACTCGGGGAATTCGTTATCCATGAGAAAATGGTACAAGTTAGGCTGATGCCAGTGTCATCTGTAGGGTTCTCTGCAGAGCACACTTAATGTTTGATTCATATAATAGCAGGGTCACACACACATGTGAGCCTGAAATCCTGATTAGGAAATTATAATCTATCAAGAGATAATAATCATGATTTCTAGTGGCTTGTCTTGCACTGTTTAGTGCCAGATCACTAATTTTAAAGAACCCAGCCTACACTGGTTTGAATTAAACACTGACAAGAGCAACCATGATTTGAGGATGAGTGAATGAGGGTGGACCAACTTCCTAGAGCGGTGTTTGTCAGTGTCTTCTGGGGAGACTTCCTCCCTCCCCTTGTGATTGATTGGCAGATAGCTGTCACTCCCCACCCATGCCTTCATACAGATTCAGCTCTTTTTTATTATTATTATTATTTTTTGTTTGTTTTTTTGGCCCATTTCCTTTTTGCTCATTTTCTGCCTCTGTCCTGTTTTTCTTTCTTCAAGCCTGTGTGTGTGGCAACTTTTATTCTACTCTGTGTCTCCCACCTCCCTGTCTTCCACTTTGAGCACTACATGCTACTTGGCGTGAGGAGGGCACCCCTTGGGAGATCTTTGGGACCAGGTGCTGTGTTCTTGTAGCTGTACCAAGTGTTGCAAAAACTGGCTATGCTGGCTCTTGCAACTTTACTGTGAGTATCACAGTACCTGGTATCTTATTAAATCACTAGCTCCTGGAATCAAGTGATTGTGAGAATCTCAGCTTTCATTTAGTTAAAAAAAAAAAATGCTTCTAGTCCTTATGGTTCCATAGCAACTTGAAAATATAACCCTAATGCTCTCTAAGCTCCAAAACTAGAAAGCAAATAAAAAGAATCCCAAATTTTTGGCTTAAAAAAAAAAAAACTCGTGACAATCTTCCTTTTTTTGGGTGTGTGGGGGTCTGACTCATGATCTTTGAATGCCTGGAGTTGGCAGAGCACAAGACTAGAGAAGAAAAGCTTGGGCTGGTGAATCTTGAGCCCGCAGCCAGATACGTTAGAGCTTGGGGTAGATAAGTGGATTTCAAGGAACTGGCTGTTGCTTTACATGCAGGAGCACGTTTGAGCCTTATCTACACTAGCACACTGAAAAAAATCCCTGAAAGTTCCCACCTGTGGTGCAGTACCAGTGCATCTCCTGCAGTGGTAGTGACACCGATGGCACTGGTTCAGACAGAGCACTGGTATTCACCAGCATTCTTACCACCTTATCATCTGGACCTGCTCTGAGAAGTCTCAGTGACATGGTGTTAAAAACAGCTTTGTCCACAGTAGGGCTCACACAGGTGGAACAGCACAACTGCTGATAACTGTAGGAAATTTTGGGGGGACAAGAGGAGCACCTCCTCTCACTACTAAGAGCTCTGAAACCACAGCCAATTTTTCCAGCTTATCTTTCTGGAATCTGGCAGAAATATTTCAAATGGCTTTGTCTAGCCTTTGATCTAGATTTAAGTGGTGCATTACTGCTAAGCCTTCCTACCTCCAAAAAATATCTATCATTAAAGTCTAGTCTATGCTAGGAGGTTTTTGCTGGTTTAACGATACCAGTTTAACTAAACTGGCAAAAACCCTCCTCGTGTAGATGTAGTTACACTGATATCAAAGTGTCTACAGCAGTATAACTTACTGCTGGCTCCGTGACCGACGTAAGCTTATACTGCCATAAGCTCTTCCGTACCCATATAACTGCACTTATACTAGGGTTTTTACCAGCATAGCTGTGTTGGCAAAAAAATCACATCCCGACTGACATAGCGATGCAGGCAAGTCTAGAATCTACAGCCCTAGGGTGAACCTGCTGGCAGGATAAAATCCACAGGAAGTATACCTCTTCAGAAACCTTCCCCAGATGGTTTGGATTCCTCTTGCTGTGGTAAACCAGAATTTAAAAAGCTAACTACTGCCTTAGATTGAATTTGCTGGTAAAAGTTCATAATGCTTTTCTCCCTCATTCTATCGCGATTTCTAAATCGCACACACCTTACCCTTCTGTGACCAAGGCCAGATTGCCATTTTCTGGTACTGTATAATTGGAGAAAATAAATAAAACTAGAAAATGACTTGGGGTTGGGATGGAGAAGGGAAGACAGAAGCAACTGTTAATGTTCATTAACTATATGAAACTCCCCTACTACTGCTCCTTTTGCTTGCCATCATTCCTGTGTTCTGTGCCGTAATTCACAAACATTACTTTTGTTAAGTGCTGAAAGTGACTAAAGAGAAATACAGCACTAAGTGACCTTCTGAATGTCTGGTGTTTGTGGTAGAGCAGACTTCCCAATGATCCACTTTTTTTCTCTTTCCAAACAGCACATCACTATTCCCAGGCCCGATTGCCAAACGGAAGTGCGAACTTTCATGTTTTATCTTTCAAATATTGGCAGGGACAGCCCCCAGGGGAGTTTTGACTGTATACAGCAGTATGTATCCAGGTGAGTGGTCCGTCAAAAAGGAAAAAAAATCCTGTTGCTTGGAATGAGAGTTTTTTACTTACGGTATGGATAGAAGTGAAATGTAAATGTGCCTTTAAAGTAAGTTTTTATTTTTTCTAGGAGGCTTTCCCTTTGTGGGACCTAGTGTGTGTGCTGAGGGGTCATGCACAGAAAAATGACTACCTGTCCCAGCCACTTTCTGGATTTTTTGCAGATACTTTCAAAGACTACCGCTGTCCTCCTTCACATTCCACATTCTTTTGTTCTTTTACAGGCTTCTTCTGTGTCTGTAAACTTCTTTTTCTTAAAATTTCAGCTCTAGCAATGGTGGAGGTGCTAACGTAGACTGGCCACTAATATTTTAACCCGCACACTGACTAGCCCCACTTAGACCAGCAGGTCTAGAAAACTTGGTGACTAAAATGCTGGTGGCCAGCCTGTGCGCACAAAGTATCCTGCCTCACTATCATCAGTGGAGCTAAATGGTAGCAGGGCAGGGACATTTTTAGGCAAGGCTAGTGATTCCTGTTCGTGTCTGATGTCAGTCAGTAGTTTTGGAGACTGTGATATATCATTATAGCCCAATCTGCACTACAAAAGAGACGGTGTTAGTAATCCTTTCTCTACGTTCAATACAAACCCCAAACCTTACAGCTACCACAATTTTGCTCCAGGGGTAGATAGTGCTTGTTTATGTTTAAAGTGTTCCTCTAAAGCTTTCAAGTGGGATTTCAAAAGTGCCCAAGTCAATGGAAAAAACCCATTGACCTCAGTGGCAGCAGAGCTAGTGAAGTACTGAGTGCTTTTGAAAATCCCAGCCTCCCCGGCCAAGCGTGTATTGCTACTTCAGTTTGAAAAAACTTCTGACCAAATTCAGCCTGACTTGGGGCAGACACAAGCTAGTTGTACTGTATAAAATCTCTTATTAGAGGTGATTAACAGCATGTGCTTCCTCCCCCCCACTTCCCCTGCCCTGTAGTGTGCCTCAGGGAGAGCTCTGCCTTCAGTGAGAATTGGGCTGGGGAGGATGCACTGTGAAGGAGAAAACCTTTGCATTACAGTGCACAGAGCCTCTGAAAAACATGGTTGGGAACTAAGTGACGGGTTAATGGGTCCGTCAGTGAGATCCTTGGCAAGTCTCTTAGGTTAATGCTTTGCAGGAGGGCTTAAGTATCTGGGCTACAATCCTTTTCCATGCCTGTAATTTCCTACCTTTCTTATCCTTAGAAAGCTACAGTGACTTTCCTGACATTTTGCCAGTGATAGGGGACGAACATAGAATCATACAATATCAGGGTTGGAAGGGACCTCAGGAGGTCATCTAGTCCAACCCCCTGCTCAAAGCTGGACCAATTCCCAACTAAATCATCCCAGCCAGGGCTTTGTCAAGCTGGACCTTAAAAACCTCTAAGGAAGGTTTAGTGAAAAAGTGTTTCCTAATATCCAACCTAAACTTCCCCCACTGCAACTTGAGACCATTACTCCTTGTTCTGTCATCTGGTACCACTGAGAACAGTCTAGATCCATCCTCTATGGAACCTGCTTTCAGGTAGTTGAAAGCAGTTATCAAATCCCCCCCTCATTCTTCTCTTCTGCAGACTAAACAATCCCAGTTTCCTCAGCCTCTCCTCATAAGTCATGTGCTCCAGCCCCCTAATCATTTTTGTTGCCCTCCGCTGGACTCTTTTTCCAATTTTTCCACATCCTTCTTGTAGTGTGGGGCCCAAAACTGGACACAGTACTCCAGATGAGGCCTCACCAATGTCAAATAGAGGGGAATGATCACGTCCCTCGATCTGCTGGCAATGCCCCTACTTATACAGCCCAAAATGCCGTTAGCCTTCTTGGCAACAAGGGCACAATGTTGACTCCTATTCAGCTTCTCATCCACTGTAACCCTCAGGTCCTTTTCTGCAGAGCTGCTGCCTAGCCACTCGGTCCCTAGTCTGTAGCAGTGCATGGGATTCTTCCGTCCTAAGTGCAGGACTCTGCACTTGTCCTTGTTGAACCTCATCAGATTTCTTTTGGCCCAATCCTCTAATTTGTCTAGGTCCCTCTGTATCCTATCCCTACCCTCCAGCGTATCTACCACTCCTCCCAGTTTAGTGTCATCTGCAAACTTGCTGAGGATGCAATCCATGCCATCCTCCAGATCATTAATGAAGATATTGAACACAGGAAAAGGTTCCTAATTCTGCAGTGGCTTGGAAAGCTCAGGCATCCACTAGTCCTGATGTGCTTGCATCACAGACCATTGCATTGAATTTTCCATTCTTACTATTCTGGCAGGGTTCAGCTCTTTAGAAACAGCTTGCTGCTCAGTGGCTGCTGGAGAGTAGCAAGTTTTTCTCTTGAACCCATTTTGCAGAAATCCACTGTGGAGGAAGGATAGTCTAGTGGTTAAGACATAGGACTTGAAGCTGGGAGATCTGGATTCTATTCCTGGCTCTCCCACAGATTTCCTGTGTGACTTTGCGCAGGTCAATTTAACCACTGAGCCTCAGCTTCACCACATGGCAAATGAAGATGTCGTCTTACAGGGATATTAGGCTTTATTCATATTTGTAAAAGAGTCTGAGCTGTTTAGATGAAGCGTAGCCATGTGAGTGTAATTATTTCTGTAATAACCTGCTGGCAGGAATCTGATATAATAAACTGATTTAGCTCGCTAGCAGGTTTTTTTTCCCCCTGCATATATAGAAAAATGTTGGTATGGCTTGTTACATAAGGAACTGACATTTACCAAAAGGCCATGATGAGCACAGCTGCTTTCAGGTAACTTCAGGTCTCTCCATGGCTCACTTACTAGGCCAACAGCGAAATGTATGTTAATCCTAGGAATATCTGATGATATCATTTATTTTTTACAGCAATGGTAATATCCATCTGGATTGTCTTGGAAGCATACAGGATAAAATCACTGTGTGCGCTACTGATGATTCCTACCAGAAGGCAAGGCAGAGCATGGCACAAGCTGAGGAGGAAACGCGCAGCCGAAGTGCAATAGTTATTAAACCCGGCGGGAGATATGTAGGTAAGAAGCAACTTGATTGTTGGAGCTGTACCTGGTTCCCACTTAGGAGACATCTGTTAGTGTTTGTCTGGGCTATTCATGGCTTGACTGTAAGTGGTTTGTTGGCCAAATCGGACATCTTCACAAATCTTCTTTTAAACGGTATCTGGTAGTGTCTGATGAGGGTCTGGTAACGTCTCTAGAGTAAAGATGCTGAGCATAGCAGAGCTAGGGGTCAGATACTCAGTGACCGTTCTGTTCCTAGATGGCAGCTGAGGATTGGCCTCACATAGTTTGCTTTTTGAGAGTCTTTGTTTATTTCTGTTACCGGGACCAAATCGTTGTACTGCTTCACAAAAAGTACTTCTGTACTGGCCGACTGACCAGGTACACAACCCATGACCCACCCGTCCTATTCTACATACCTGGAGTGCATCTGCACTGAAAGGAAAGCCATTAAATGTCATCTGGGGACTGAACTAGTATTCACCAACAAAGGGATTAAGGTAGTGGTGTTAATTGCAGCCATGAAAGAAACTGTTGCACCTTACAAGCTGAAAGGTAGAATCTCTACTAGGAAGGAAGAGCGAGAGGGGACAAATATCAGTGGGTTCCAAACTAGAGTGGGGAGGTGCTTTCTTTGGACTCAGATCCCTATCCCCTGCCAAAAACATGAACAATTAGTGCAACCCAGAAGACCCAGTCTCAGTTTTTATGAGTCAGTTGGTTTTTCTTCTCCCAGCTCATGTGATCTGATGACTTGTTTCCTCACAGAGGATGTCTATGAACAGAACGGTGAGTTGCAGAATGGAGAATTGACCTTCACTCATAGTTTTATCAGCCAAGTGCTCAAAGCTGAGAAGTAAGATAGTAATCAGGAAGGAAATTCATTGATTTCCTGTCCTCTAGAAAATAATTTTGTTTAACTCTTCATATTTGAAAAACCATTAGAGTAAAGGGATACAGTTGTCAGGCTCATGAGCAAACAGCTTCCCAGAAAGAAAGGATAATAAAACTTAAATTTAAAAATTCTTACTAAACTTTTCCCTTTATAAAATGAAGACAGAGCCACACAAGGGTGGGGGTGGAGGTGGGGCTTACGGTGTAAGCTGAGACTTTGGTGTCAAAATGTCTGGGGTGGGGGGGGGGGGGGGAGGAGGGGACTGGGAGCACAGTAGTTAGGTTTATTCAAGGAAAGGGAGGGAAGAGGGGTCCGGGGTCCTGCTCTCCAGCCTAGGGTTAAAGATGCGTATTCAGAGTAGCCTCATCTTTTAAGGTGCACATTGCATCTGACTTACAGGCTCCTCAAGCATGTATGTGACTTGTTGACTTTATATGATCTAAGAGGAGGGAAAGCTGATTTTTTTTTTTTAAATTAATGTTTATATGAGATGTATATGTAGCGATTTCGGGCAGCTCAACCTGATTGCTATGAAGAAGTTAGAGTTTCTTCATTAAGTGTGAAAATTAGAGCAGTCTGGATAAGCCTGACCCTTGAACAGAACGCTTGTTGAGGTTAAAAAGGGTTTGGTTTAACATCAAGTATATTTTGTGTGTATCTCTCCACCTCTTGGTTCCAGCTGTAAATGGAAACGCTACAAAAAACATATTTCTGGTGTTTGATTCCTGGCAAAAAAACAAGCAAGCTCTAGAAACCTGACGAGTCTGTTCTTGTGACATTTCTTATCCTATTTCTAGTAATTAGATCCTGTTAGACCTCTGAACTTCTGGATGCTTAACAACATGTGTGGACTTTTCTGTTCTCTCCCTTTTTATCTTCACTCAACCTCACCAGTGGAACAGCCTTTATTGACTTGCATCAATGTGTGTAATCAGAACCCAGGAAATGATGACTTAAAAAAATTATGCAACCTACATTTCAGTAGAATAAACAAACATTGCACACAGTCAGCAGCATCTTCAGATGACTCAGTTGAAAACATTGTTTCCTAAGCAGAGAAAACTGCCATGCTGAAATAAGATCTCCAAAAATTGTCAGAATAAATAGCTGGATTTCATTTATGCCCGATCAGATCACTCTGTTTGCTTGAACTAAAATGGCTGTTAATTTTTTTAATGGCTTCTATAAAACTGTGCAAAATATGAAGACTTTTGCCTCTGGTTTTGGCTATCTAGTTTTCTTTTCTATAGACTGTATTCTCTGTCATGGGGGCACATTTATAATTAGTAATAGAATCTGGCTTTTCATTAAGAAAGCTCTTGTTTTCCATATGGAAACAACCCAGGTTTTTTTTAAAAGGAGGTGACTGATCTTCCAGCAAACGATGCAGTTTGTCTCTGCGTCACATGAAAACGGTTTCTAGTTTAAAAAAAATTCAGGCTTTATGTGGTAGCTGGAAAAACTTAAGCCCAGAGGGTATAATCAAAAGGAAATAGATAGAAACAAAACTCCCAAAAAGGAATTGAGGAAGTTTTCCTGGGGGATTTGAACTGAATGTTAAAAACTATTTTACAGTTCTCAAGTGTACACAAATGCTCATTAAGAGGCGGAAAGTTATTACTTAAATAGAAACGTCATATTAAATAGTCGTTATGATGCATGCTAGTCTAGTCTAGTCATCTAGACCCCGTTCATGTCCTTGTATTTGCTCTCGGGGGAGGGCTTGTGGAACCAGACCCATAAAGTTCCTATTGTTCTAAAAACAGAAACATTTGCTGGAGAAGAGTTTTGCTGAGATCAGCAGCGGGGAGGCCTCCCATTGACCAGTTCTGCTCTTATCCCTCTGTATTGCAGCGCTGCAGTACATTGCAATTGTGGGACTTTGCTTTTCACAGGAAAAATCTGGCTGGACTAAGTAGAGGATGTAGAACATTGTGAAGAAGGAAGGACTGGTGAGCAGAGAATTGAAGGCTACAAACTTGTCGAACAATAATAGCCATGTTCCCCATGTGTGATGACGCTGCTTTGGACTTAGTTACTTTTTACACGCTTGGATTAAATCTTCTTAGGTTTCACAGAATGTTTGTCCCGGACTTTCATTGGCACAGGAGTGTGTGTATTTGAGTCTTCCATTGTTGTCTGTCAGGGCTTCATGGTGGAGTTTATGATGTACATGTGCACATTGGCAAAACACTGGACTTTGCAAGGTGACTCCTGCAGTTCACTACGTTTTCATCTCATTTTAGGTAAAAAGGTTCAGTTTCGTAAGCCTGCACCAGGAGCTTCCGATGCTGTTCCCGCTAGGAAACGGCCAACACCAGTCAACCTCGCTAGTGCAATAAAGAGAGGCAATAGTGCAATTTCTCAGAGACCCTTCAAAGATAGGGTTGTGCACTTATTGGCACTAAAGCCTTATAAGAAACCTGAACTTATTCTCAGATTGCAAAAGGATGGACTTTCTCAGCAGGACAAGGATTTGCTGGACAGCCTCCTGCAACAGGTTAGTTTGCCTAAATCATTAAGACACATGTGGTGTCATAATGTTGGCAGATTTTCTTAGTCCATATTTAAACTGCAGCTTTAATGTGATCCATAGATTAATTTTCTTTAATGGCCGAGCCCGGTAAGAATCGACTAAGGGATAGGTTGCGGTGTTACATTGGCTTTTCTAGAGAGACATTAGCAGCCCCTCAACATTTTCACTTTCAGGGGTTTATAACCAATTTGTATAAATTATCTACCGAATTAGGACAGACATTTTGGTCACTTCCACACTTTCAAATTGCACTGCAGTATATTGGCTATTTAATACCAAACTGTGACCTCTCCTTGTTTTTAAGGCTTTGTGGCAAACATGTAACACTTGAGTATGAATTGATATGAACTATGGTCGATAGGGTTCAGAGGTGTTCATAATACATCCAAAACAATAACGTCAATAAATTGGCATATGCAGTATTTTCCATCCAAAAGAGAAAATATATTCCCTGCTCACTGTGTCCCCCAGCTTCTCTCAAATCATGCCTTTACTGCTAAAGAAATGTATTAAATTGTTTAACTCTGAAGATCATGCAGCTTCTTGCTAGACGTGTTCTCATGTATGCCAGACGTTAATGCTTGTCTTCCAGTTGTACCAATTCAGTAATACCAGCCTGAATACTCCGACTTTATTTGTGCTAGCTGAATGTGCCATTTGTAATAATTATCTTTACTGCTTTTATAGTATTTACATTTTCAGAGCACATTACCAACATTTAATTAAACCCCACAACATCCCTGTCATTTAGGTATTGGAATTGTTAACCTTCATCTGTAGCTGGTGAGATTGAGACAGAGAGGTGAAGTCGCTTGTCCAAGGGCATACAGCAAGTTATTAGCCAAATTAGGATTGTAACTCTGGCATTACTGGTTCTCAGTCTGGATTTTAATCCACTAGAACTACTGCCTCAATGTTCAGTACCATTCTGAGTTCTTTTTAACCTCCTGAATGTCTTAATGTTGTGTAACTTCAATGAACAGTGTCTGCTGTAATCTTTTACTAATAATGTCACAAACCTCTAGCAGGTTGCTACTATGTATAGTAGTCACAACACTACTAACATGATTAGGATAACTCTGGCTTGGCTGGAAATTTATCACTTGTAAATTTATTACCTCTCAGCAGCAGTGGTGCTCCCATCCTCAAGCAAACACAGATAAGCTACAGAACACAGGCTGTGTTAACTTCTTGCCCAAATGTGTCTGGGTGTCAGTTCATGATGCTGTTTTATCTACACAGGACTGTGATAGTATTGAGTGTACAGTCTAATTTCTCAAAAGATACTACTGGGGGAATGGAGCGTGCAGGTCCCAGGAGCTGCGGTGTTCCACGGACTTGCTGATGTGGAAAGCAATTAAAAAAATCCTGAGAACTTTTTCTGAGTAGATTATAAAACCTTCTGAGCAGGGCCTGTCTGTACAGTACCTGGCACGCTGTTGGTGCAACAGGGAAAAATGATCTGGGTATTGATAGAAGATATTTTGGGGGAGTTTGTGAAGCAGAAACTGGCTTTTTGTTTCCCTTATTTTTTTCATATTGGACATTACTGTGTGATTTAAATGTAACATACATTGTAATTCATCTTTTGCTTGGCTCAGGATTTTGGAACATTGATAACTGAAAGGAAAAACAAAATATTTGTCATGTAAACTGACAGTTGTATGTTTATCTCTCATCTGCAAAACGTGCAATATTCAGTCCTTGACTAGAACTTTAGATGAGATTGTCACATAGTGTTTCTTGTTAGATGTCATCTTTCCTGCTCCTTCACTTTCTGTTTTTTATGGGGGTAATTTATCGTTTTGTGAGGATAATCTAATAGCACATTTCATACAGTGTGCTGTCAAGATGATTTACAATCCATAAAGACAACCTAAAATGTAACTGCTTCTACTGAGCTCTGTAAACCCTAGAAAACATGTTTAATCTCAAACTGATAAATAGTATCTCCACTGACAAACTAAGAGAACATGTCCAAATTTAAAGTGCAGCCTATTTTAGAACAGGGAACTAAGAACCCATGGAATTTGAAACTTCTTTCCTGTCTTTGCCTATTTGTAAACATGACATTGCACAAGTACTTAACATATGTGCCTCAGTTTCCCTTTCTGTAAAAGTGAGCCTAATACTTCATCCCATAAGTGAACTGTGATCCTTGACTGTTGCTTTGGAAAGTGCTTTGCAGTCCTCTGACAGGCTGTAGAGACATGTAGAGTATTTACAAAGGCATGATCCCTGGATGTGTAAGCGTTACTAATAAATTTCTATGAACCTTGTATTTTTCAGATGAGAAGGTAATTGCAGCTGAGAGTTTAAATTTCAGTCTGACTAGTGAAAGATGAATTACAGGGGGGAAACCAAAGTTGTTTCCATGCTGACATGTTTCTGTTGGCTCCAACAGAGTTCCTCATTAGGCCTCGAATGGTCTCTGTGTATAGGAAATCTCTCAGTGGTAGGTTCTGTCAAAATGCAAAAAGCTTCCCAAGGTCATGTGCTGTATTAGTTACAGAATATGATTATTGGGTGAGGTGATTATTTTGTTAAACTCTGGAGTACAAGTTATTAATGGTAGGTTTTGCTTTCTCTCCTCGTAGTAGCTGTCAACATGACCGCTTCTTCTTCTCCCATAAAACTAAGCAGGTCACTTTAACTAGAAGTATATGCCATAAAACCACATTGCGAGGACCCTGAAGTATCGAGGGAAGCATTCTTTCTCCTGCCCTTCCAGACTATTACATCTTTTCTGTTTTTAATTACTCCTCTCTACAGTGGGAAACTTTGTCTTCAGACAGCTGTGAACAAAGCTGTCACCATAACAGTTTGTATATCAGTTAATATGCAGCTTCATCTTAGGTGTTGGACAGCCTTGATAAATTGTCTGCCTGTTCCCAGCAGGGTTTATTTCCAGATGTTTCCCTTAGCTCACGTTGGAGCAGCCCCAGATTATTTTGTGTCCGTATTGAATGGCCATTTGTAGTCTCCTTATTTTTTTGTACTTGCATCTCAGTATAATTTGATATGTATTTAATAAATGAACATTTGCTGGGGCTCCTAGGTGCTAATAATATTGTGCTGCCACTGTACACAAAACAGACAGTTGGATAAATAATTTGGAAGCAAATATTAATCCTGATGCTTATTGACACTTATGAGTAGAACTGGTTCAGTAAATCTGCTGCAGCTTTGCATCCAGATTTTTTTGTAAAAATGTGTGAAAGCGAAACCCTAATGGTTTTTCACAAATTACTTTTCTATTTCAGGTGGCAAATCTGAGTGCCAAGGACAGCACTTATACATTGAAAGATTGTATGTACAAAGATGTACAGAAAGATTGGCCTGGCTACTCGGAAGGAGATCAGCAGTTACTGAAGAGGATACTTGTTCGGTAATTATTCCACACTTTTTGTGATGTCATCTGCTAGCTGAATCTCTTACTAATCTACTAATTTGTGCCTATAAATAGTGAGCCAGATCAGCTGGTGTAAATCAGGGGAGCTCAGTGAAGTCAATAGAACTACGTCAAGCAGATCTGGTCCATAGTGTCAAATATTTGATTCTAACATGCAAGCTATTGAGTCTGCTACTAAATTTGGCTGGTGAATGTGCCCAAGAGCATCAAAACTGTATGCAGTCTCTATTAAACTTAGGAATTTCACAAGTTACATGTCACTGTATTCTTAACAAATGAAAATGCAAGCCACAGGAAAAATATGGGAGGAAAGAAAAGGTCATTCCTTAGATGGGAAGTTAACGATTGTTTAAACTCTGGAACAGAATTTAGTTAGTGAGGATATGTAGTTCTCCATCAAATTTGGCTCTTCATTTAATGTCCCCTCTCCTTCTCTGCCTCTCCCCTTACATGTCACTTTGTTGCCTTGCTGTCCTCTGTGCACAGACTTCTGTTAGTCCCTTCTCCTGAGGACAGGTTATCCAACGATGTGATTTCCGCCTTCTGCCCTGAGCATGCTGCTCGGCTACTGTGTTCCCTGCTCTTTCTGGACATTCCCCTCCCATTAGTGGCTATGTCTTTTTATGGCAGCTTCTATTTTAATCCTCTTGAGCCGTATCTATGTGTACAGGTTTTGGTCGTGTTTAACATAGATTGTTCCACCTAGAACAATTTAACACACTTTGTGTCCAAACACAAGTCTCTCAATTGTGTGTCTGCTGTGCTACAGTTTGTGCCAGGTAACCTAGGGTCACCCCAGGGTTAACTGTGACTCAGGATCAATCACATTAAACCTCATGTGGATGGAGATTAAAGCAAACAAAGCAATATAGCTCTGCATATGGCAGCCATCCCCCCCCTTCCCATTTACCTAGCCTTCACTGCCCAGGTGTCCACCTGGACAGAAGCCTCTTACCTTGTACATTTCCCTATTTACTAGCAGCCCCTCATAGAGCCAGCTAGGATGGCTTCTCTGTTTCCAGCTGTTTTTTCAGGCCTTTGAGTTTTGCCTCATTAAAGCCTGTGGGATTGGAACCTCTGTTTGGCAGGCAGAAAGAGTGAAAGCCTGTTTATTGCTGGGGGAGGGCAGTAAGCAGACTGTTAGAATCTGTCCACTTCATCAGGTACTTGTCCCTAGAATTGAAAGTCTCCCTCAGTCTGGGAGTTCCCAGAAGAGACTCTCATCCTACCTGTACTTTGCAGCTATACCCCTTAAATTTACAACGAGCCCGACAGATCTTTCAGGGGACTCTACTCTGTTCTACAGGTTTATAGTCCCACTTCTGGTTTCTGCATGTTTTTCTCAGTCTGTACTGTTTGTTGTGCAGGTAGAGACTTGATTTGGACTCGTTCTGAGACTTATTTCTGTTGTGATTTTGGTTAATATAAAATACAGCTTTTTGTTTGAACAGTTTCCATGGTTTGAAAGCACAGTTTGGCTTGAAGATGAGACTTTTTAAACCAACAAAGTCTGTAACACTAAATGTTCTTTGGCATACTTAGGAAAACTCAAACTGATGTGTTGTAACCAATTTAAACATCCTTCACGCTGAATTATAGTTAAATGGAAAATTACAACTATCCACACAGTCTGTATGGCTTTAAAAAAAAAAAAAAGTTGATTCTTCCTAGTAGAGAAGTGTTTACTGCTTTTCTCGAATTGTGGCATTCAGTTATGCAGAGATCTAAAAATAGACCCTGGAAAGGATGTATTCAACTGTACAAACAAAGACCTGCTCAGCCAATGCAGGTAATGAGACTACAAAATGGAAAAAACATGTAGAGTTGAAGCTGGTAGAAAAACACTCTCAAAGAGCACGGACACCAGATGCAGGGTTTTACATAGTTTTGCCATGGTAGCCTCAGTTGCTGCTTAGTTCTGTCCAACTGTTAAATATCCTTTGACACCACTCTAGCTCCTTGTTTTTATGCTCACGAAACACTTGGGATGGATTAGGAATTGCTTTAATAACCCAGCTTTAGACATTTTAAATTGTTTCTAACAAAATTAATGTTGGGTTGATTTGCTTTTTCCAGCCTCCCTGCTGTGCTGTAGCGCAGTCTTTGAAGACCATGTCTATGCTCTGGGCCCTAGAGCGGCATAGCAATGGCACGACAGCTATGCTGCAGGAAGCACTAGTGTAGATGCAGACTATAGCAATGAGAGGGGCCTGTCTGTCTCTCTAGGAACTCCACTTCCCCAAGCAACGGTAGCTAGGTCTAGGAAGCATTCTTCTGCCGACCTAACTGTGTCTACACTGGATTAAGTTGGCATAGCTCCGGTGCTTAGGTGCAAATTCTTCACACCCCTGGCCCTAAGCAGGTAACTGTGTTAGCCTCAGTTTTAACTGTAGGCAGGCCTGAGTGTTCGCAACTTATACTGTGCATTGGATTCAGTGGCTTTATCCCTTTTGAATACCTTTCGTTTCAGTAAAGAGAGGTGTTCTGGAATTGCTTTTGTTAACTAGTTTAGGAGGTGAATTCGTCCTACTTGAGGCTAGTCAATGAGAAACTGACTTTAAAAAGATTTCAGAGTAGCAGCCGTGTTAGTCTGTATCCACAAAAAGAACGAGGAGTACTTGTGGCACCTTAGAGACTAACAAATTTATTTGAGCATAAGCTTTTGTGGGCTACAGCCCACTTCATCAGATGCATAGAATGGAACATATAGTGAGGAGATCTATATACACATACAGAGAACATGATTGTAATCTATATGCATTGCCGCTAGTCCCCTTCATAGGTGTACAAATTACTGTCCACTCAAGCATGTTTCTTGAGATGACCATTACCATTGAGGCATGGTTGTTTGGTTTATATTGTCACTTCATTTAGTTTAAATCTCTTAATTAAGAGAATGTGGCTTTAAACATGGAAATTAACTGCTGAAGTATTGCTGAAGTGTAATCAAAGCTTCAGGTTAGGGAAAGAAACAAGTTCCTCTGAAATTTTGCAGATATCTCTGTAGTAGTCTTCCGAATTTGCAAAATAAATAAATAACTTAAGTTAAAAAAATAACATTCTTCAATTTAAAACTATGTACTGAATCATTTTATGGGAGAACTTAGATCTTGGATACTTAACATGGGCATGTGGGTTGTAGAACTGCTACAGTAAAACCTTCTTTGTTGCTCTAAATCCTCTTCAGAGTTAACTTCTTTACAGATGCAACCTGATTCAGTAGAAGACATTTATTTCCTGAGTGATTTAAGACATGGGTTCTCTGACTCATGCTGGAAAAGTCCCCGGGCAAAGTTAATGTTCTCTGAAACTTACTCTGGTCGCTATGGAACTGCATAGAAAAATAAGATTGATACTTAAAAGAAGGTGGATGGATTTAGTAATCAAAGTGAACTGTAGTATCTTGTTTTGATGCAAGAGGTTGCCATTTTATTTGAGACAATACTGTAAGTGTAGCACTTGGAGCAATCGTCTGGGAGGTGCAAGTTTAAAGGGTATTTATTATGGAGCCTTAAATGTGCCTGGTGCATAACAGACCAATGAGGTTCTTGTCAGAGATGCCACTCTTCTCCCCCTTACCACTCCAATGGTTCACTTGTAAGGGATAATTGTCCCACCCTCTGTGGACTAAAATGCTCTCCTCATGGGGAGATATTTACTCCATTTAACATTTGAACTTACCTTCAAAGCAGGGACCCAGTAAGAATGTCTCTGCTTTGATTAATGTTTTGTAAGACAACCTTAACCCTACAAGACTGAAAAACGATTGAAAAGTCAGTGAGAATCTAAACGAATTCTGATTACTAAAGGGCATCCATCAGTCGTCAAGCACTGGCTAGAACACTGTGGCCATCCAGTACAGTCACTTGACTTTTTAGTTTTAATATAAATGTTTTATCTGACATGCCTCAGGAATAATTTTGTTAGAGTAGAATGAATTTCTACAGTAGCAATATTTAGGTCTAGGCATCAGGGAAAACAAGCCGAAGGGTAAGTGTGTAGAAAATAAGCTACCTCCCCGTCAGGTAATGCTGACCCCAGTCTCTCAGGCAGGGGTACTCACTGCTCTATTGACTCAACCCTTGGAGGCACTACATGGGCCTGTTATCTCATGATGAATACACCAATGGTGGGGAAAGAGGGAGATTCCTCCAATATTTTGGTGCCCTCAGTATTTTACTGGGCAAAGTTTTGTATGTCTTGAACTTCGTTTCCTTTCCAAGAGATTTGACTCGTCTGGGAATCTCCCTTTCCCTTTGTAAGGGCAGAGTAGCCGCTGTCCCTGAGTTAAGGAGGGCTTTCTCCCACACCAGCTATTGCTGCTTACAGAATTTGTCGGAGTTGGAATGCTAAAGTCCCCACTGGCCCTTAGAGCTTGCAACTACTTTTGCCACTAGACCTCCAGGCATTGCACGGGATTATCAAACATTAGCTTTCCTATGGGTGCAGATTTACTGAATAACTTTCAGATGATCCTCTCATGCTAGAAGAGGGTCTTCAATGACACCTGATGCTTTGTTGTCCCTCAGGTACAGGGTCTAAACCACCATACATTCTGTTTTTCAGGAAACTCTCTCAGCCCCAGAATGTTAGCAGTTTTGTGGGAGACACTCCTTCCTTGAGTCCCCCAAAAGACAACGTGAACTCCTCTTCCCCTCCTCAGGTAGGTGGGTGAACTGCCGGGGCTAGTATGTGGGGTAGCTTGGTGTCTGGTGATTAGCACAGGGCCCAGAGCCTGGAGCCACCACAGTCTAAACCCAATGACTGGCTCAGTGTTGGGCTTTGGGGAGGTGGTTCAGCCTCTGCTTGCCCATTTGTAAAACTGGACATCATTACTGCACAAGGGTGGTGAAGATTATAAAACTTTGTACAAAGTTAGAGCATTATTGTGAGCCGCACATGAATCCAGTTCCCCTCCCAAGATGCTGTGCTGTCGGTCTGTGTGGTTCAGCAGCCAGCAGTCTGTAAGATTCTTAACCTCGCCTCTTAAATGCTTTGGAATGCTTATTGAAATCCTGTGGCACTTCTGCTTCTCTGGGACTTAATTTTCAAAAATTTCAAAAGTGTTTACCAATAATTTAGAGCCAGCCAGTAACAACCAGCTCCCAAGCACAACTAAGGGCTTGTCTACATGCAAACTACTATGTGGCAAGTCAAGGTGTGAATCTGTAGTGCACCATCTTGCTGCTCAGTAACGTCCCATGTCGAGACTGCTGCAGCACACTCTGGGACTTTCACTGTGCTTGCTGTGTACCTCATTCTCAAATTGAACTTTTTCTAAAATATGAGTATTTAGTATGTTTCATCCAAGAAAATCAAGGTGATGTTGGTGTTAGCAATAATACAGGACTTAGTTTAAGGTGAGTAAAAATTGGCCATTCTTTATTTGGTTTGTTTTCATCTGTCAGGATCTGCAGGCACCAGAATGTGTGGGGCACACTTATTGGGGGTTGCTTGTAGTCGTCTTCATCATCCCTCCCTCTGTCTGCCCAGCCCCTGCACCTTGTAGCAAAGAGGTGGTAACAGTATTGAAAAGCCACCAGGAGACATTGAGGAAGTGATGTGGTTGCCCCATAAATCCTTGGCAGAGTGCATATTTCCTCTCCACATCCCTTCTGATTGTAACTAGTCTGGAAAGCAGGACTTCCTGTCACCACGCATTCTTGGGCCTTTGCGAGTTGGCAAATGCGGGGAATTAACTGGAAGAAGAAAGCTAATCGGATGATTTCCATCAAAGGAACTGAGATTCCAAATGCGCTTTGAGGGAACAAAAATTCCACTTGCAAACACAACAATGCTGTCTGAGACAGTAAGGACAATCAAAACTATCCCCAGTATTCCAGTAGGTGCTAAATAATCCTGCCTCAGACTCGGTGCAGCCTTTTGCAGCAAGGCAAATGTACACTGTGGTACTGAAGGCTATCCAAGGTAATTTGGCTGCCTCCGAAACTGGATTTGGGCTGGCAGCCATAGCTTCTGGCTCCAAGCTACGCTTTTTGTACATTGACTGAAGAAAGGTTCTTTCACAGTGTAACTCCTCCTAAGCTAACCTGTGACCCCCCAACAGCCACCTGATTTAAGATGCAGATGTGGTTAGTTACCCTCATCCATCAGCAGTGGATTTATCACTGAAAAGCATTTTCTCAAAGCATTATCTTCAGAACTCCATCCCAATAGGTCTGAAAGGGCAAGTGGGAAAATTCCTGCCTTCTCTCTACTTCCAGCCTGCCAGGAGTTTTCCATATGTCAGTAGTGGTTAAGATTAAGTGCCTAAGTTTCAGCATTTCTCTAGTATCTTTCGTACTGTGAACTCACAGCTCTTTACAAACATTCAGCCTTGGGCCCACTTCGCCTTCCTCGAATCCCTTTGAGGTGGGGAAGGATATTACCCCTATTTTATAGGGGAAGAGACTGAGGCACAAAGTTCAAGTGACTAACCAAAGGCCACAGAGTAAGTCAGTATCAGTCTGGAGTAGTATCCAGAAATCCTGACTCTTGGAGCTCTAACCACTGAATATACTTCCTCCTTTGCCATTATCCTACGTAGGTGTTTTGCAAATGCAGCATCTTTGGCAAATACTTATTGGAAATGCTCTCCAGACAGAAGAGATTGCAGCCCTCTGTTTTGTTAGTGTTCTTCCATTACCCCTTGCATGGGGGTAGCTTTGCTCCCACCGGGAGAAATTTGAAACAAAGAAGTTGGAAAGAGACTGACGGGGGTTGGTTTGGGCTTCTACAGGAGACAAAGAGAGCAGAGTAGTACCAGTAATTACTTTTTAGGACCTGACCCCTTACAGCTTTCTCTATCCACTTGCTCATACAGCCTCTCTGGGCCAAGGGCCTTCTAGTCCTGTGTAGCACTCCCGCTCCTTTTTGTGTGGCTGTGCAGTTATCGTTAGGGTCTCTAAGAGAATTAGCTGCTTGGGTAGCAGAATCCGGTTTCTCCTTGTATTGGATTGAGGGCTGGCAGCTTATACTCTAAGTCACAAGCTTGTGTCCTCTCTGGGGTCTCCGGTGAGACAGCGTGGTGGATTTGCATTGGATTCATAGATTCTAAGGCTAGAAGGGTCCATTGTGATCATCTGGTCTGACCTCCTGTATCACATAGGCCAGAGACCTGCCCCAAAATAATTCCTAGAGCCGAGCTCGTAGAAAAACATCCAATCTGGATTTAAACATTGCCAGTGATGAAGCATCCCCCACGAGCCTGGTTAATTACTTTCACTGTTAAAAATGTATGCCTTATTTCCAGTCTGAATTTGTTTCGCTTCAGCTTCCAGCCAGTGGATCATGTTAGACCTGTCTTTGCTAGATTGAGGAGCCCAATATTAAATGTTTGTTCCGCATGCAGGGACTTGTAGACTGTAATCAAGTCATCCCTTAACTTTTGTGTTAAGCTAAATAGAATGAGCTCCTTGTGTCTATCCAGGTCATTAATAAAAATGTTAAATAGCATCAAGCCAAGAACTGATCCCTGTGGTAACCCACTGAGACACAGCTGCTAGATCAGGGGTAGGCAATCTATGGCACGTGTGCCGAAGGCAGCACGCGAGCTGATTTTCAGTGGCACTCACACTGCCCAGGTCCTGGCACCGGTCCGGGGGGCTCTGCATTTTAATTTAATTTTAAATGAAGTTTCTTAAACATTTTAAAAACCTTATTTACTTTACATACAACAATAGTTTAGTTATATATTATAGACTTATAAAAAGAGACCTTCTAAAATCGTTAAAATATATTACTGGCACGCAAAACCTTAAATTAGAGTGAATAAATGAAGACTCGGCACTGAAAGGTTGCCGACCCCTGTGCTAGATGATTCCCGGTTTACAATTACATTTTGAGACCCATCTGTTAGCTATCTTTTAATCCACTTAATGTGTGCTACATTAATTTTACATCGTTGTGGTTATTAATCAAAATGTCATGCAGTTCCAAGTCAAACACCTTGCAGAAGTCTCATCAACACTATCACCTTTATTCACTAAACTTGTAATTTCATCAGAAAAAGATATCAGGTTACACAAGATCTGTTTTCCATTAACCCTTATTGACTGCATTAATTAGATTACCCTCCTTTTATTCTTTAATTGAGTCCTATATGTTACCAACAGGCCTAAGGTTATCTGGGTCATCCTCTTCACCCTTTTTAAATATCGGCACATTAGCTTACTTCTAGGTTTCTGGAATTTCTCCAGGTTCCAGTACTTATTGAAAATCAACTTTAATGGTTCAGCCAGCTCCTCAGCCAGCTCTTTGAAAACTCTTGGATGCAAGTTATCTGGACCTACTGATATTAGAAATGTCCAACTTTAGTAGCTACTGTTTCGTATCCTCCTGAGATACTAATGGAATGGAAAGTAATAATATGACTGCATCTGTTTTTTTCCCCCCATATACAGAACAAGAATGTTTATTGATTACCTTTATTGAATGCCTTTTCTGCATTGGGCCGCTGGCCAAAGTACTTTATTTTATTTTATTTCTAGTGACTTTTGTTTGCTTATTGATACAGCAGTGCCACCTACTGGTGAAGCAGAGTACTTAAAGCAAATGACTGATTTGAAATCACTGTCTTGTTAGTCTTTAAAAGAATGTTTTTCTTTGTCCTCAGAAACGATCCCAGCCTCTGGAATTCATTGATCCACTAGCCAACAAAAAGCCTAGGATATCTCACTTGGCCTATAGAACTCAGCCCACTTTTAATGGGAAACTGAACTCCTCGAACGGGAAAGATGCACCTGCTCCTGCGGTGCAGTCGGCTGTGGCCGATTCTGTCAGCTCCGGCTCTCACTTACCAGTTCTGGAGCTTCCAAGGCCTCATGACCCCCTTTCTGATGTCAGCAGTGACCTAAGTCACAATGGCAGAGACTGTGAGAACCCAGAGGCAACTGACAGATTGACTAATACTTTGTCAACAGACTGTCCCCAAACGAGCAAACACAACTGTAGCTCACTGTATGTGAAAACAAAGAAAAAATCCAAAAAGCACAAAGAAAAAGAGAGAAAAGAGAAAAGTGAAGAAAAATGCAAAGAGGAGAAGCAGGACTGTGAACTAATCAAGAAAGGTGGCTTAAAAACGAATACCTCCAAGGGTGTCATAGGTATGTGAATTCTGAAACTCTTTGTCTGCCTGTACAAACAAATGGCTGCATGGAAAATATCGGTTGTATGGTGGGTTTAGAACAGAAACAGTGTCCTGCCTATAGATCCAAGGCCAGAGACTGTATGCTAGTGAAACTCTCTCACTATCTCTATCTAGATCAACATATGGGCTTTTCTGTGCAGAGTATATCAAGTTTTTCCTGTTTAATTTTTTTTATTTTATACTGTTTTGGAATCTACTTCTGATTTGTGTCAAGTTTCTCCTAATTCAATTAAAAGCCTTGTATTAGTACATGGATCGTCATTCTGGTCTGAATACCAGTTTGTCACTGATTACTTATAGCTGCCGCTCTATTTCCCAATGGATTTGCATTTTCATATTGTTCATCATTGTGTTGATTTTAACTCCATAATGGAAAAACTAGTCCCATCAAAGGCTTTTAATGTTGGATACAACAGAAGCTGTAGATAAACTTAACATGATACCTGTTGTTGTTAGGACTCAGACAGTATAAGCTTTCAAGCTAATAAAGTTCATTATTATATCTTGTTATTTACCTGATCTAATTTTCTCAAGGATCAACAAAGCTACCAACATCTCAAGTGTTAAAAAGGAAGGATGGAAAAAACAACCCCAATACAGTGTTTCAAAGATTACTTACTGCGTAGATTCACAGAAATTACATGGGAAAACATCTGTTGGCTAATCTAGTCCATTCACCTGCTAGTGCAGTCATGTTTCCTATTTGCTACTACTTTGTCAAGTCTAATCTATAATGTCTCAAGTGAGATTGCTTCTACTGCAGCCATTGGAAATAGTAGTTCAAGGCTCATAGATCTGTCACTAAATTATACATTACATCCAGCCTTTTTCCTTAATTTTACCCCATTACTTCTAATTAAACTCCATTTTTAACCACACTAAATCCTCTCCACCTTTGATGCATGAGAATGCATATACCTTCCTTTCTTTTGAGTAGAGTTTATCTTTTACAGGAGATCATTCTATTTTTTACTTGTATTTGGGCTTTAACAGAATGTAACTGTTTTTGATAAAGGGACACACTTGTTTTAGAGAACGAACTTCCAGTTCAATATGGGGTGAACTCAATCGAGAAGATATTAAATCTCATGATTTCCCGTCCTAGCCAGAGCAGTTCATGTACACAGGATCTGATTGCTGACAAGTGATTTCAACTGCTCTCGTGTAGGCTGTTCTGACCATTATAAATGGGGGAGGTTTTGGTACTTCAGGATGCTTTCCATTAATACATCAAACCTCATTTTACTATTTGATCTTATTTACTGTGAGTCTCACTTTTCTGTGAATTTCTTCTCTTCCTGTTGTTTTTGTCTGTGTGACTGTCTTCTTAATTTTTGGCATAAGTCATGCAGGAAATACATGCTGTTTTCCTGACGCTTCTTGTTCAGTAGCAAAATATTGCAAAATTTTCTTTGTCTGTCTGTCTTAATGAGCTACTGACACTTTAAAAATCCCAAACCAGAAAGTAAGGTAGAAAAGTGGTAAAACAGCAGTTTTGCAGTTCTGACTTGTTGCTGTATTAATGGGAACTGGGCTTAGGTATTTCTTCTTCACTTGTCCCACATGTATCATCTATACATTACTAAAGTAACTTATTTTCTGCAATTCCTAGCAGTGCTCCAAGTGATTGGAGATTATAAGTAATCATAAACAAACTGTAGTAAGTGATGCATAGATTCAGCATTGTAACTGGTTGGGTAAATCTAGCTAGGTTCACCTCCACGCCTCCCAGATGCTTTGTATAGAAGTTGAGTTTGTCCTTGCAGACTATTACTAGTTCTGTTTTAGCTGGAGATGAAGACCACATTGGGGTCTCCTGAGTTAGACAGTAGGTGCCACTCAGGGGCAAAATGAACCTCCGTTGATTTATTTTTCTCTCCTCTCTGCTTTACTTCTTACCCTTGTCCCAAATAGTCCTTCACTTCACTAACCCATACTCAGGTAGGTAAGTAATTTGGTGGGGAGGACTGTCTCCGCTCACCATCAGAAATCAAGATTGCTGAACTCCTGCTGATAGTTCTTCTGCCCCCTTCCTGTTTCTGGTACGCTTTCCTTCGCCTTAGGGAAGTCTTGGTACAACCTCCGACAGGAATGTATCTTCAAAGGGAAAATTGGGGCAGCTCATCCTAGGACTGGATTTATTACTTCAGACGTAGCTTTGGGGTAACGACTCCAGAGGAATTTTAGGGGGGATGAAAACGCCAAAGTAGTTGTAGCTGATGCTATAAATGTGGGTCTTGGGGAATATGCTACCATTCCTATGTAACTCATTTCTGTATTACAAGATCAATATATAGTCAAGATTCTACTTGCTTTGCTGACTCATTTGCTTTGAATCACATTGTACTTCTCCAAAATAGGATGAGTACACCCTCAGTTCTGTGGCTTTGAAGCCACCCCCATTTGCCTCTGCAACTTGCTTCTTCCTCTAGACTGCAGCTGACTTCCTAGTAGGGCCAGTCAGAGCATTGCACACTTCTCACCTTTCAAGTTAATTTCCCACTGCTTATGGGGTATCCTCCCCTGAGGTGGTCATAAGAACATAGCCATACCGCATGCCAGTGGCCAGATGCTTCAGAGGGAAAGAACAGCAGAGGGCAGTTTTGAGTGACCAGTTACTGATCCATGAGAGGATAACTTATCCCATGACTGCTTGATTTGCTTAAGAGCCTTTGCTGAGGAACCTTGTCAAAGGCATTCTGAAAGTCCAAGTACATTGTTTTGACTGGATTGCCCTTGTCCACATGCTTCTTGTCTCCCTCAGAGAATTCTGATGGATTGGTGAGGCATGATTTCCCTTTGCAAAAGCTGTGTTGACTCTTCCACAACAAATTGTGTTCATCTGTATGTCTGATCATTCTGTTCTTTACTGTAGTTTCAACCAATTTGCTTGGTACTGAAATTAACAATATCGGCGGCCTGTAATTGCTAGGACCACCTCTGGAGCCTTCTTTACAAATAGGTGTTATATTAGCTACCCTCCACTTACTTGGTACAGAGACTGATTTAAGTGGTAGGTTGCATACCATAGTTAGTAGTTCTACAATTTCACATTTGAGTTCCTTCACAACTCTTAGGTGAAAATTATCTGGTCCTGGTGACTTATTACTGTTTAATTTATTAATTTGTTCCAAAACCACCTCTAATGACACCTCAATCTGGGACAGTTCCTCAGATTTGTCACCTGAAAGGAATAGCTAGTTATGTGTTCAGCTCAGATTGAAGTCAAGTCTACCTTGGACCTAAATCTTATGCCTACCAAGATCTGGTGCCATTCTCTTACCCCAAGAAAACCTTATAGGATTTTTAGGTGATGTCTACCCTGGCAATTGAACGACAAAACTTTTGTCTTTCAGAGGTGTTATTCCCCCTCCCCCGAAAGACAAGTTTTGGTCTGACGAGCGCCAATATGAACAGCGCATTGTCGGCAGGAACGCTCTTCTGCCGACAACGCAAACTCTGCTTGTGAGGGGGGGTGGAAGTTTTTTGTTGGGCAGAGAGCCGACAAACAGCGGCCACACTGCACGCCTTTTAGCGGCATGGCTGTAGCGACACAACCATGTTGCTAAAAGCTTTCTGGAATAGGGAGTGCTTCCTGTTGTGCTCTGTGTGTGGATGGCCTACTCCGTAGACATGCATGAATAAAAGCAGGCTTTTGCTTTATGAAGCCATACATCTCTAAATGCAGTGTTGAACATATCCCTTCATCCCATTCTGACATGTAAAACTTCCTCCAGGAATCTCTAGTGTGAATAGCAGTAAAGCATGTAGCATAGAACAGAAGGGGAAATAATTATACTCTGCTCAACTTTCTGATCTGCCCATCTGGACTGCATTCATTTGTTTTGCAGTTCACTAGTGCTGGGATTAGTACGTTATCCCTGCTGGGTGGCATGCAGCAATATTTATAAACCAGTTAAATTGAGATGTTTTTGCTGCTCAACGCATTTGCAAATAGATGAATATTAGCTAAATCTTGCAATTCCAGCCATCTCATAATGTTGATACACGCTGCCTTTGGTCTGTTAAAACTAGAGCCACAAATCCTTTTCTATCAAGGAAAATGCATTTTGTAAATGGGGTATGAAGTTGGACTTTAGCTAAACATACCTTTGTAAGATGTAGGGCTGATGCAAATGTGGGTTTTTATATTTTGCAGGTTTAAATGGAACATGCAATAATTCTAGTGTACCAACATCAACTTCGGAAATGCCAGATTATTTATTGTAAGTATCTTCATTGTATCATTACCTTGGGATCCAATTCCAAACTATCCATCAAAACCAGCTAGTGACTAAGACATAACTAACTCAGTTATTTTCTGATTTCTATGTTAGAACTCTGTAAAAAATATTTAAAAAACCAAACACAAACTCAGGTATTGAATCCAAATTCACAAACGTATGGCCTTAAACTCCAACTACGTTTTACGGCAGGTTCTTCCTCCCCTCCACCCCCAAATTCAAGGCTGTTTTCCCTGCAGTGGTTGATTACACCTACCCCATAAATAGCAATATCTAATTGTCAAAGCCCTTGAAACACATTAATCCTGACAACCCGTTTGGAGGTCGGTAAACAATATCCTATTTTATAGATGGAGACCTTGAGAGGAAATAACTTGCTCAGTATTAGACAGAAGTCAGTCACTTTCCCAACAGTACTCTGGATTCTTAGGGTGTATCTGAAAGATCATCTTGTCGCACGGGAAACCCTGTACTCTGAGTTTGATGGGGAAGTGAGAAACTGCTTTTTAAAATGTTTGCTGTTAAGTGTATTTATCTGTAATGTTTTAGTGTTCACAAATATTGCTAATGATTTTAGTATCAGTCCACTTTTAAGCCAGGAACCTGTTTGTTCAATCAGTGTTAAATATGGCTCTCTAGATCCTTTGTCCAGTCATTGACTGAATATGATATGAGATTTTATTTTTGCTGGTATCCTTGCTGTGTGGGTGGTGAGGACAGTGAGGTTCTATCTCCCTTTGTTCTAGTGACATCTGACCTGTTGTGTGACCTACTCACAAGTGAAAGATGGCTCCAGATGGGAAGTTAATGGATAGTTGAATTAGGTGGGGAAAAGCAGCACGCTAGCAGGCTCAGAATACCCGTTCGGGTTACTCCTCATAGGAAGGGTAATCCCTGGGTTATGGTGCCTTAGACTCCTTTTTTAATCAAATCCCCCTGACTCCCATTAAGCAGTACTTGTTGCTATGGGTAACTCACATCCCTTCTACTTGAGTTTTTGGTATCAGAGGGGTAGCCGTGTTAGTCTGGATCTGTAAAAAGCAACAAAGAGTCAGATGTCTGACGAAGTGGGTATTCACCCACGAAAGCTTATGCTCCAATACGTCTGTTAGTCTATAAGGTGCCACAGGACTCTTTGTCGCTTGAGTTTTTGGCTGCTTCAAGCCAGATCTGTTTGTAAATAAAACTCCACACTTTCTGCTGTTGTGAAATGTCACTCAGATCTGGCACATATACCCCTGAATCGGGCAAGGTAGTCCTGCCAGCCCTCTTCTAGCCTCATTGGGTCCATTTTGGGGTACCCAGGGATCATGCAGCCTTGTGTTTCATGAAGAGGTGGAGAGGAGGGCATCCTTTATTCTGCTTGCAATGCAAAAATGGCCAGTCACAGCTTGGTGTATTAGAGGGTATGACTGTTTCCCGTGCTCTAATCAAAGTGGTGGTTTTATTGGTGTATAGGGGACTTCACAACTGAGTTCTTTGAGCGGATGTTGGCACTGCTGTTGAAGGAATTGAGGACTGTTTGAGTGCAGCATGCATGTAAGATATTACCTCTGATAGGCCACCATGTCTTTCTAGAGTGAGGAATCCTTGGGGGTTATACCCAGAGAGAGAAAACACCTGAGCTGCCAGCCATATACTCAACCTTGTCTTTGGGTCTGATTTAAATGTTTGATATTTGAGTCATTGAGTAGTCTGACCATCACCTCATGTGCCTGATACAGATGTGAAACCTTACATCTGAGTGCCATTTTTTCATTGCATGGCACTAATGCATACTATAGATATTTGCAACGTACACTCATCTCCAGCAAGCATCTGACTTCCTCTTCCAACCGGGATGTTGACCAGCTCAGTGACTGACCGTTATTAGCTGGTGGAAACTACCATTAGCTTGGTGGTTTCTTGACCCATATTGGTGGCTTCTTTTGCCTGAGGTCACTGTGGCTTAAGTTTCCAGAAATCAAACCAGTCAGGCTGTGATGAGATGGCCAGGGTGCATCACTGGAGCCACCTCCTTGTTTGTGCAATAAGTTTGTGTCAATTCAGAAAGACAAGGTGGGTGAGGTGGTAATGCTGATTGGACCAGCTTTTGCTGATGAGAGAGACAAGCTTTCCACCATTCAAGGTGAAGTGGCCCGTTAACATCCCTGTATCATAGGACAAAAACAGGGGTGGGGGGTTAGTAGTTACAGGTCATTGTAATAAGCCATAAATCCAGTGTCTTTATTAAGACCATGATTTTAAGGCTATGTCTACACTGCAAACCTCACAGCAGCACAGCTATGCTGCTGTGAGCTCTCCTGCGTCATCGCTCTGTGCCGACGGGACAGAGCTCTCCTGTCGGCATCATTCAACCACCCCAACGAGCGGCGGTAGCTGTGTTGGCGGGAGAGCCTCTCCTGCTGACGTAGCACTGTCCACCCCGGTCGGTGAAACTTATCAGTCAGGTGTATTTTTTTTTTTTTCACACCCCGACTGACAAAAGTTTTACTAACAAAACTGCTAGTGTAGACACAGCCTTAGTATCCAGCAGCTTATGAAGTTAAGTTCCCAGGCTCATCTTTTGAAAATGTTGAGGCTGAGGATTGATAGCTCAGGTACGGAGTGATCGCTTTGTGTCATCTCTCCTATGCAGTCTGGTGGTCAATAGCCCAGTAAAACCACAACTTTGCAGCACAGAGAACAGTCGTATCCTCTAATAAACTGATATGTAGCTGGGACACGCGGAGCACCTTTCCCAGCCCCGAGGAAGAGCTCTCTGTAGCTGGAACGCTTGTCTCTCACCGACAGAAGTTGGTCCAATAAACGATATTACTTCACCCACCTTGTGTATCTCATTCTGGGACCAACGTGGCTATCACAACACTGCATACGACATACATGTCAATTCAGTCACTTTAGTGGTGCATCTTAATAAATTAGGCTCCCTTTAATACAGAGCGGTAATAGTTCAGAGTCCTTCACTCTGTTCTCCTTCAGTCACTCAAGACCTGTGTTAGCCTGGCAGATCTCCAGCCCCCCTGTCACTGCTGCAAAGAGTAAGGTGAGAGATTGGTGGTGTCACCTATGGTAAACTTGTTAAAGCAGATGTGAGGTCAAACATGGAGATGAAAAGGGAAGAGTGATCCCTTATATCGGACTAGTTAGAAGGTGCCCTGCTGAAAGTCAGGTTAATTGCATTTGATTAAACTGAATGGCTTTTAAATGACCTACGAGATGTCCCTTTGGATATGCATGGGCACTCTGTGTGTTCGGTTTGTGCAAGGTATTTTCAGAAGGTGAAGAGGGGATATGTCCCCTTTTTTAATATGGGAAGTGCTGTGCCTTCTGTGTTCGTGCAGTCCCCAGACCAATGGGGGCCCAGTGCTGACTGAGGCGTCCAGGTGCTGTTGCAATGCAAATAACACTGTTTGTCCTGGAAGGCAAGCACTTGCCAGACCTGCTGCTTTGACCTGCAGTAACATTGCTGCTTGAAAAGAGACATTTGTTGTAAACTGCTGTTTAAACTCTGTTCCCTTCAGAAAATATGCATCCATTTCCTCTTTGGAGCAGCGTCAGAGTTATAAGAATGACTTCAATGCGGAGTACAATGAGTACAGAGACTTGCACGCCCGGATAGAGAGGATAACTCGACGGTTCACCCAGTTAGATTCCCAGCTGAAGCAGCTTTCGCAGGGCTCTGAAGAATATAAGGTATAAGCAGGAATATCTGTTTGAAAACCTAACTCTGCCGCTCACAGAGCTGTGGTTTGGTTGTAGTTCACATGGCCTTCTTGTTGGGGTGTCTTGGGAGGACTTGCATCAGGCACTGGGTGACTGTATTAAATGCACTGTACACAGCCCAGAACTGATGGAGGCAGAGCGTTCATGCAGCTGACAGCTTTTCAGGCTGTTTGTACAACAGCCCTGTGTTCTTTCAGTTGAAACACACATTGTGGTACTTGTTGACAACGAGCAGCCTCACTAAGACAATTGGTGTCCCCAGCCAAATCCTGCTGTAGATCATTACATTAGTATATCATCCTCGCCAGAAAAATGATATTTCACCCATATGAGAGCTTATTAAAGATGGAAAGCGAGCTAATATGGAGTCATCTGTTTCTCCTGACGCTTTGATCTTAATAGTAGAGTATTAGTCAACCTGTCAGACTGTTTTTAAGAGCTTTAACTATTCATTAGCTTGAGAAAATAAATTTCACTGAGGATAATACTGTTCTTCACGGAGCACTTCTTGTACTGCTCCAATGTCCTTCACCTCCCCTGAAATACCCTTTGTTTTGCTGTTGCTTTTCTTGGGACAGCAAAATAATTCAACACTCGTCAGTGGAGGAAAGTTAAGCTACTTGCAGAGTAGACTAGGTAGCTCTCCTCAAGAACTGCATTCTGGGGGCCTGATCCTTCCAGCACTTGCTGTCGGTGTAACCATTGCCAGGGTGAGTCATTGACGCCAATGAAACCACTCGCAGTAAAACGCACAGTAACTCTTGAAGGGGTCAGGCCCTTGTTTTGGATCAACTAATTGTTGGGCAGCTGTACATATTTCAGGCTCTGTCCCTGCCACATCTCCTCCACTAAACCATAGCTGTTTTTTTCCCTTTTGATATTGAACAGCCAACTCTCTTATGTGAATGCAAATATGCATTTTTATTTATTTATTTATTTTGCGATTAAGTTAGCATATCTCCTGTACACTGTCGTGGAAATTCTGAACTGGCCACTTTTCAATTTGGAAAGGGCCACGATGACCTAAAACACACCAAAATAATTCCAGGTGCAAGAAACTGTGGGGGGGGAATATACAGTAATTCTTTCCATGTGATAGTTTGATAAACAGCGCCCTCTGGGAAAGAGGTCAGGGTCTCACTTGACTCAACTTTGAATAGTCAAAGTGCCACTCACTAAAGTAGGTTCCAGTTGTATTGTTTTTATGGAAACAACTTGATGATGTCCTTTCTTTTTCAGACTATCCATGATCAAATTTTACAGGAATACCGTAAAATCAAAAAGGTGAGTGAAAACTCTCAGCCACAAACTAAAATAATCCCTTTCTCCACTTAGCAGGGACAAGGTTTAGCTTATGTGATTTGTCTGGTTGCAATTTGTCAGGAAGGAAAGGGCTCCCTCTGCTGGTTAGATGGGGCTCAATGGCTGAGGCAAGGCCCTTCAGTGAGATGTGTTAGTCAGCACTTCGTCTGTGTTAGAATCATAGAATATCAGGGTTGGAAGGGACCTCAGGAGGTCATCTAGTCCAACCCCCTGCTCAAAGCAGGACCAATCCCCAAACAGATCAGATTTTTGCCCCAGATCCCTACATGGCCCCCTGGAATGAGTTACGTTTCTGTGTTAGTGCCTGGGATAGCAAAAGGGCACCTCTGAGGCTTTGAGGTGCACAGCCTGAGTGACAGTTATTGGGGTCCCCCTTGTTTTGTGGTGTCACTGGCATTTCTCAATGCATGAGGATATAACTACGTTCAAAGTGGCTACAGGTGTGTTGTGAGCAAGACACGAGAAGTCATTCTTCCGCTCTACTCTGCTCTGGTTAGGCCTCAGCTGGAGTATTGTGTCCAGTTCTGGGCACCGCATTTCAAGAAAGATGTGGAGAAATTGGAAAGGGTCCAGAGAAGAGCAACAAGAATGATTAAAGGTCTTGAGAACATGACCTATGAAGCAAGGCTGAAAGAATTGGGTTTGTTTAGTTTGGAAAAGAGAAGACTGAGAGGGGACATGATAGCAGTTTTCAGGTATCTAAAAGGGTGTCATAAGGAGGAGGGAGAAAACTTGTTCACCTTAGCCTCTGAGGATAGAACAAGAAGCAATGGGCTTAAACTGCAGCAAGGGAGGTCTAGGTTGGACATTAGGAAAAAGTTCCTAACTGTCAGGGTGGTTAAACACTGGAATAAATTGCCTAGGGAGGTTGTGGAATCTCCATCTCTGGAGATATTTAAGAGTAGGTTAGATAAATGTCTATCAGGGATGGTCTAGACAGTATTTGGTCCTGCCATGCGGGCAGGGGACTGGACTCGATGACCTCTCGAGGTCCCTTCCAGTCCTAGAATCTATGAATCTATGAATCTATAATACAGATGGACTGGCCATTAAAATCCTCCACTGAGGATACTGGCCTGTTGGTTTTATTCTTTGTGTAGCACCTGTAGTGTTTTATGTGCCTCAGACATGTAAAACAACATGGTCCCTGCCCCGAGGGCTTGTAGTCTAGATAGGTGAGGTAGAAATGCAGGGGGGCAGCGAGCCAAGCGGTGAGCAGTGACGTGGGGTGCACCTCGAACCACTGTGGTTTTTCTTTTATCAGATTTTTAGTTTGTGAAAGGGGTTCTGAGCCCTCCCTTTGCTGAGGAGTTGGTGGGCTTTGTGAAGTGAGTTTCTGGGGCACTCCCCCCTGCGCTCCACTTCCCTTTTAGAAGGATCCCGTGGTTCAGCTCCGAGGCGGGGAGGGAGAGCAGAGCTGGCGGGCTGCAGATAAAGCTGTTGTGCCATTGCTTGATAGCCTATCTACACAGGTGACCTTTGTGTCCCCTTTGGGGCCTTGTGGAAGAGGCCCTCACATCCCCCTTTGTTAGCTAATACATAGGTTAGGGGCATTGCACGTCATTGTACCCAGCATGGGGGCAGGTATGTTAACTGAATGTGTTGTGCTCTTCCCACAATGCTGTTCCCTTCTGCTCACTCGTGTCAAGGTGTATATCCCACAATACCCTGCACAGCACAACTCAGCACTTGGCCTAGGCAAATCTGGAACGTGTCAGAAACCAGACCACGTGAATGTCCTGCCCTCAGCTTGGGAGGTGTCTTCCCAGCCCCTAGCACTTGGACTGTGGTGTCCGGTGAAGGAGATAAGGGAAGGTGCAGAACAAGTTAACGAACGAATAGGTTGGATCTTAAGTGACACACACAGTGTTTTTAACTTGTACACAGCCCTACTAAAAAATATGATGAATATGAATGCATACTTCCGGCAATACCCTCTGTGTAAGGTGAACTACAGGCTGCAAAAAACAGGTTCATGGAGGCGCTCTTTTGTATTGTGCTGCTTTGCCTTTAGACAATAAATTGGCTGAGCTTGGTTATTTGGTCACTTGCAGTTTCATATTAAAATTTTTCAATTGTAGTCAAAATCTGGCTATTCTAGCAATACCCTACTTAGCGTTCCTAATTCAGGGGCAGGGGGCCCCAGTTACAGAACAGACACCAAGGCCTATATCCTTGCACTGTTAGGAGGGGCATCATCTTAATTGAAACGAAGTCTGGTTGCATTTCTAAGGTTCTGTTGATAGTTTTATAAGGGTTTAATGTTATAAGCACGTTACATTTATAACGGTATGTTGTAGATGGTAATAGAACAACCTATTATAACCCGCAACAATTAACCATTTCTTGCAATGTCTATTAATCAGACTTTTTATAAGTAATATAAAGTGACTCAAAAGTAATGGGCACCTCTTTCCCCTTCCATCCCCCAGTGGTGGGGGAGTTCACTCCCGAGCTTCACTCATGAGAAATGTACAAATTGCTGGCCTGTGGCCTCCCAGATCTTCAGCACCCAACCTGCTAGGATACACACTGCAGTACCTGCCCTTGCCTAACCCTAACCTCATGAAGGAAGGGGGACTTATAGCTATCTCCCACTTAAAGGGGATGTTTTGCTTTTTTACTGGAGTTACCCTGCTCAGAACAGCTTTCCAATTTTAGATTGAGGGTGGGTTGAGGAATAGAATTGGTCCACACAATCCAGGAGCAGCACCGTTTGCTGTAACCTGGCAACAACAAATCCAAGTGCCTTTTTAAGGGAGGAGGAAAGATCTTCCTGATGAAGAAACTTAATTGGATGGTAAAAGTATTAAGCTAATCAGTGACTGTCCATCCAGCAAAGGAACCAAACTTCAGTGCCTACTGTTAACTAGCATCAATATGGTTTGCATTTTGGGGCTGTCTGACCCACTCTGTCTGTGATGTGTGTTATGATAGAACTGGAGAGCTATTAACTTCGGTAATTGTATCTTCCTTTTCCTTGCAGACAAACCCCAATTACAGCCAAGAAAAAAATCGCTGCGAATACCTCCACAACAAACTGGCTCATATAAAAAAACTGATAGCAGAGTATGACCAACAGCAGTTTTAGTCTTGGCACTAATATCTGGACTGGGTAGTGCAAAAAAAAATTCACTTGGATGTTAGTTTCCTTTATACAACAAAAAAAGTTAATTCCTTTCAGAGCCAAGCACGAAGTCCTCGTGGTTGGAAGAACTTGGAGATGATGATGACGCGGAGTCTGTCACGCCAGTGTCTGAGCCAAGTAGTGAAACCAGTGCCTGGCGTAGTCCTCTCCAGTTTTACCCTCTCTGAATGTTGGAAAGGAAAATAAAGGAAAATCTGCTTCTTTGAAGCCAGCTTTTGACACTTAAGGGAAAACTTGCCTAAAGTGAATAAAACTCCCAAAGGTAAAGAATCAGTTGTTTTCATGGATAAAGTTTGGAATGAAGTTTAGTTATCGCTGGCCCAGCTCTTGCCATGTTGCATATTCTGTTCTGCAGATGGTGAGGAACTGGAATGCTGCTAAGTTACCTCCTTCTCTGGCCCCTGCAATGTTGATATGCAAGCTGTCTGCGCTACATGGCACCATGTTAAATACTCAATTTCCCAGAGCTCTCCTTGTTTGTTCCTGTTTGTCATCTTCTCCAGTTTGTGCTCTCCTGGAGGTGGCGGTGTCAGCAGGAGAGAAACTGCCCAGGAATCTGCACCGAATGCTTTGTCCGATGCAGACTTTTGGATTCTTCATATATGAAATCTCTTATCCAGCTTGTGCATTTGGAAACAATCGGCGTAAACTTTGCCATGGCTTCTCCCGGGTGCACAATTCAGTCAGCCTGCATTATACTTCATATACCAAGGCCAGGGAGACTGAGACCTGTCTGTCTTTGACTTTTATAGTTTTATACCAAGACAGCCAATTTTATTAATTGCTAATGAGACTGTGGTCTATTTTTCTAGATATATATATATATATATATAAAAAGCATCTTTTCTAAAACTGTGCCTCCCTTTTCCTTTTAGGCCAAGTGTTTCAGAACCTTCCCTGTCTTATAACTGCAGTATTACTAATGCTCATTGGATACTTACCCAGAGAAGTTATTTTGTTGTTTGTAATGGGATAAACAAGGATTTGGTGGGGTGGGGGAGGGCGATGCTTTCTTGTTCTGTGTTCTGCACATTTCCAAAGCAGCAGCAGCAGAGAATCCAAACGCTCAGAACAGGAACCGGAAGAGAGAAATTTGAGAGAAGTAAGGTAGCATGTCCAGTGCGGGTCACTTACACTCTTGTGCTTTGTCCAACCCTTTCCTCTGGATTTTTGGACTTGAAGGGAATACTTTAGAACATGGCCGAGGCGTGAGGAACTCAGCAAAAAGCACAAAGGTGCCCTTTAGCTCTGTGGTTTTTACCTTTAATCCTGCCAGCCTGTGTGATTTTACTCACTCCCGCTTCCATTTTATCTTCCAAACAGCAGAGGTTTTATTTCGTTCCCAGTAGTGGCTCCTTGCATCAGGAGAATGTGATCCTTTTTGAGAGAGTAAAATGGCAGAGTCAGGTCATCAGGAATGAGGAGGGGGGGGGACTAGTTCTTCTCTGACTAGGTTCTGTTTTGTGTTTTGCTGCCCAAGAAAATGTGCGTCCATCTGAAATAATTCCATTCTAGCTGGACTCTATTGCTGCTAGTTTAATAGGCTTGTGCTCCAAAACCTCTCACCATTTGTCGTCTTAAAAGGCCCTTGTTCAAGGTGTAGATAGTTTTAAAGTGTCAGAGTTTCTCTTTCCTGCCTAGTCCTCCAACACCAGTGAGATCACTGATGCTACCCTAGTTTGCTCCCACGGGGATCTGACTTAGTGCTAATGGGAGCCATTTGCATATACAGCTATGCTGGGTCTGGTACAGGGGTTCTGCAGCTGTGATCCATGACTAGCCAGTGGCCAGTTACAATTTGCAGACTAGCAGGAAGGCCTCATGTGTTTTCAAAACCAAGCAGTAAAGGGTTAGTAAGAAGCTGGGAGGGCAAGGAGGCTCTCACAGAGGTCTGCAGAATGACTTGGTGGAAGAACCCAGTGTTTGTGGGAGTGAAGTCCTAGAAACAGCTGAAATTTTAAGGAAAATGTTGGTGTCTTTGCTTCCCCTACCCACAGAGCAGACTAACGTTCCGTGGGGGAGGAGAGCAGGGGAAGGTTATTCTTGTCTCGTGGACATAAGTAGCAGTCTTCAGAACATCTCCTGCCCCATTGGGGCTTCCAGTGGATAGGGAAAGCTGAAAAATATGGATGATTTAAAGTGAAAAGCTTTTGTCAAATGAGTTTTCTCTTGATGTTACACGCATGAGTTCCCCCTCACCCCCAACAGCAAGTGGTGGTTTCATGGGAATATCAGAAACAAAGGACGTCCATTTTTCTTTGTATGAGCTCAAATCCTGCTAAAAACATAGGCGATCTGAAACAGCTTTGATCCAACAGACTTTCTGTGGCTGTGAGTCGCATCAAGATCTATTTTATTAGAGCATAAGTGATCTGTTTTGTTCCAGCTGTGGTTAATGTGGGGGGTTACATTGCTCTGCTATTGGGCTCCCTTTTCACCTTGTTTGTGTACTTCTTACTGTTGTCAGCAGAGATCTCTGGGCATGTTGTGAGGATTCACAATGCAAGGCCCGAAAAGCAACTTTGTATTGCTGTAGGCAGCTTTGCTAGCCGGCAGTTGTGGGAATCCAGCATTTTCTGGTGGCAGCACTAAATCTGTGTAAAGCCTCTGCCAGAAGGCAGCATCGTGACTTCAGGATGCAAACCGCAACATTCTACCAGACGATGCAAGCAGTTGGGCTTGAAAGAGTGTTTTCGTCAGTGGCTTTCAGATTGGTGGCCTAATCTGTAGCACAAACTACATTTATCAGCCAACATGTTTTTTTAGCAAAAGAAACACAAAGTATGCTTCCTCTTGAAAACGCAAGGAACCACAAAACTCCAAATGGCAGAAAAGGGCGTCAGTTATGAACCAAGATAAATAAATTCTTCCATGGAAACACGTCTCATTCTGATCCTTAATATTTTGAAAGGGTTTTTTGGAATTTTTTTTTTTGAGGGAAGTAGAGATGGATCTCAGTCTTTATACATCTGCTATAAAATATTTTTGCAAACAGTTGTATACAAAGATGTATTATGTACATTTACATGTATATTCTGGAACTTCTAGAATCCGAATATAAAGCTGAAAAAATATTTAATGACTATCCAAACTGTGAGACCCAATTAGCTTAACTTTCTGCTTCACTTTTCTTTTGGTCTGTGTTATGTAGTCAAATCTGCCTTCTTTTTTTTTATTCCTTCTCTTTTTTCTTTTCTTTTTAGAGAGTATGAAGCTAGGCAAATCTTGTGCTTTTTGGGTTAATAGAAACCAGTTCTAGATGATTAAGTATGATCTAACTTATTGATACTGTGTTTTACTTTGTAATATTGTACTGTGGATAAAACTATATTGAGCCATGGAGTTGGAGTTTACAAAGAGCTTTTCACTTTGCCAAAATGTTACAATTTAAAGGCAGCATACTCTTCAGCTTTCCAGTCTTTTCTTAAAGAGCTAGTGTCTTTTTGTACACTAAAAAGCTGAATGCTGATTTTGCAACATATAATAAATTCACTGTATTGGAAAACAAGCCCAAGGTTGTATATTTCTTTTCAGAGTTTATTTCGGAGGGTAAATGGCTGGCGTGGGGTTTAACCCCCCAGTAAAGAATGAACCCGAATGTTTGAAATATTGTGCTAAAATTCTGTATTCCCAAACGTAAAGCGTTATCGCTGCAGTAGGGAGAGGAACAATGGCACAGGGTCTGGTCTGACACTTTTCAGGTTGTGATGGGGTACATCCCAGGGCTAGCGTTCAGCCTGTCACCCTCAAAGGACTTGGTAACTTTCACCCAGGAAACATCATTGCAGATGCAGAACAATGTAGCTTTCAGTGAAGTTTTTATCTCGCTGTTCCTGTGTGACGGAGGCTCAGGGTGCTCAGAAAACTCCCTCAAGATTTGAATTCAGGATCAGCTGCCTTGTGTCCTTGGAGCTTTAGGATCAGGTTTGCTCTAATTGGCTCTGATTTATCCCCTTTCTCTCCCCCGGTGGTTCTTAATCCAAAGCCTCGTCTGTCTGCAGTGCCTAGGTACTGACCTGTGCTCCATCGCTCTCAACCCCCTTCTGGGTAAAGTGTGGGCAAGGTGCTCTCTGAAGTGGACTAATCCTAATCTCAGAATGTTCTTGCTGGGGGATTAATAGTTATTTTTGTTAGCCCTGCCCGACTTGCCTGCGTCTGTTCAGGGGATGGAAGGGCTGCGAAAATAGAGACCTGTGACCCTGTGGAAAATGTCACAAACGGCCGACCCCCACCGCAAGAGGGAGCTGGATGTCCCTGTTCCAGTGCTGCTCATGCAGCCGCTTGACCGACAGGAATTAACATGCGTTCTTCTTGCCTGACCTCAGTGTGTACAGCACATTTGGATCCAAACTGGCTTAGTGAGGTGTACGACAATGTTCAGCCACCAGGGGGCAGTGCAGGGGTTCTCAAACCTTTTGTACTGGTGACCCCTTTCACACAGCAAGTCTCTGAGTGCGACCCCCCCCCCCATATCAATTAAAAACACTTTTCTATTTAGCACCATTATAAATGCTGGAGGCGAAGCAGGGTTTGGGGGGGAGGCTGACCGCTCGCGACCCCCTGAGGGTCATGACCCCCAGTTTGAGAACCAGTGGGGCAGTGCTCTCCACGGCCTCGGAATGGCCTGGTGTGCTTTGTTTAGGACACATTCTTGTCAGTCTAAACTTGACGGGGTGTTTGATTTCCCACTGACTCAGGGAAAATCCTCTTTGGCAGCAGCAACCCCAGGCACCTTCCCAGCCTCAAGCCCAGTGGTGTGGAGAGCTTGAACTGGGGAGACGGATCAGGGAGTCCCCTAGTGGCTGCAGCCCTTGAGGGGAGGGTGGAAGGGGAGCCCTTGGTTTGAGGCCGGCTTGTGAGAGAGCGCCTGGAAGAACAGCAGAATTCTAACTGAAAACACACCAGGTGTGATTAGGAACAGCCTGTACCACACGCAGTGCTGGGGGAGGGAGAATCGGCCTGTACCTCAGCTGTCACATGGGACTCCATCTCCTGTTCCACGAACCAGTGAGCAGAGCACCTGACCCAGGCTGCCTTTGCGGCCCTTGTGTAGGCCTCCGCAATCCAGGAACGTTTGCTCAGCTGATGCGTGGGAGACGGTGTTGGTGCACCCTCATTCGGTACCGATTCACGGCATGGGTGGAGCAGGCTGTGCTGCTAGAGACCCTGCTCCACACAGAGCGCTTGGTGCCCCTGCTTGCTTTGGGGCATTTTCACGAGACTTGGTTGGGGGTTAGCTCTGCCCGTTCCCCTGCCGTGGGCATGTGCCGCAGTCAGAGACGTGATCCCTGTCGATAGGGTGGCAGAGCCCTCAGAAGGAGCTGAGAAAAGTAAAAATTTAAAACTTGGCTAGTGGAAATTTCCGGCAGGCTCCCCAGTGCCCCACCCGGGCTGCTTAAGCTGAAATCCTCATTTGCATCTTATTGTCTAGAAACCTGACTCTGGCAGGCTGAAAGTTTAATGTGCAAATGAGACCTGTGCGCTGCATATTTAAACACGGCACATGCCTTAAACGGGCCGTTACCAAGTTCTCGTGGGAAACACTAGGCTGTGGCATTACTTCAAAAGGTGGATTTTTGTCCCCTTAAGACTTCTGCTCTTTGCCTCTGTCTCTGACTTCCTGCGGGAACCTATGACTTGCAATGCCTGCTGGGGAGAGTAGGGGTGAAGCAGCGGGGAGTGTCACAGCTCAGGATGAAATGCCTTGGCGCATGTGAAGGGGCTCGGGACTCGGAGGTTGCACAGCTGCAGGGCTGGCTGAGCTTGAGGTGGAAGAACGGACCCAACAAAGCAGTCCAGCTCGTGGAGTCCTAGTTTCTAACTTGAGACACCAAAAGTGCCTGTCCATCTATTTCCGATACTTGAAAAGAGAGAGTAAATGAGGGATACTAGGAATCCTCCAGCACTGAGAGCGCAGGCTGGGTGGGGAAATCCTGTCTAACACAGGAATGAAATGAGAACAACTAGTGACTGGTCAGTATCCAAACCCATTCCTAAAACAGCCTCTGGGGGGAGAGGAACGCAAGTGTCCATAGGTGGTGGGTGGCTTTTTTTTTTAAGGCCAAAAGGGACCATCCACAGGACTCCTGAGTCCAGTTAGTGTCAACAACTCAAGAAGGATGTCGATAAACTGACGGGGTCAGAGAAGAGCCATGAGAATGATTAAAGGGTTAGAAAACCTGCCTTAGAATGACAGACTCAAGGAACTCAATCTATTTCATTTGACACAGAGAAGGTTAAGGACTGACTTGATCACGGTTTAGAATGACTTATCTAGGGACCAAACACTTGATAATGGGGGCCCTTCGGTCTAGGAGGCAAAGGTCTAACGAGATCCAATGGCTGCAAGTTAAAGCAATTCAAACTTGACATAAGGTGCAAACTTGCAAAGGAGGGTAACTAACCACTGGAACAATTTACTGAGGGTAGTGGTGAGTTTTCCAGCCCTGGCAACAAATCAAGACCGGATGCTTTCATCAAAGATCTGCCCTAGTGCAAATGAAGTATTTCAGACCAGGCCTGTGTTATGCTTGAGGTCAGACGAGATGATCTGTGGTCCCTTCTGGCTTTATTTATCATCTAGTCCAGTGGTTTCCCAAATGGGGGTTCGCAGAACATTACGGGGTTCACTGGAAAAATTTCACTAATGGCAGACAGAGGACCCCGGGCATTGCAGACAGCAGGTGGGACCCGGTTGCAAGGCAGACACCCCGAGCCCCAGGGAGAGCGGGGCTGGGCAGTTGGGGCTGGCAGCCCAACTCCCGGCGGTCAGCGCGGGAGCCAGCAGCCCAACCCACAGCGCTCCCCACGCAGGGCTGGCAGCCCGAGCCCCAGGGAGGGCGGGGCTGGGCAGTTGGGGCTGGCAGCCCGAGCCCTGCCCCTGTCAGCAGGGGACCCGGCAGCCCAAACCCCAGCGCTCCGCACGGGGCTGGCAGCCCAAGCCCTAGGGAGAGCGGGGCGGGCAGTTGGGGCATCCATCACACTGAGGAAATTTAAACTTAAATTCCTGGAAATATTCATTTTTAGGAGGGGGTTCACGAGATTTCACAATTTAGTGAAAGGGGTTCGCGGGCTGTTAAAGTTTGGGAACCACTGATCTAGTCTGACAACACAAGCCCCAGAATGTCACCCAGAGATTCCGTATCTGTCTCTATGCGGGACTAGTGCAGTTCTATTTAGGCCAGGATCCTGTCTGTCTAAATAGCAAATGCTTCAGAGGAAGGTGCAGGAAACCATGTAATGCAATAACCTGCCTATAACAAAGGCTCCTCCATAACCTCCTTACGATGGCTGGTGATGTAGGCGCATGAGGGTTTATATCCCGTACACATGTAGCTGCAGTAGAGACTGCATGGGTTGTTGTGATCCATATGTGCACAGGCCAATTCTTCTTTGGAATCCTGCTAAGCTCTTGATCTCATGTGGCAGGGAGTTCCATAGTTTAATGACATGTTCTGTTTGAAAGAAATTTAAAAATGAAATTTTTTTTATCTCATTGAATTTCCTTTCATCTTTTTATCAGAGGAGATACAGGAGTGCCAGATCTCTCTTCTCTGTTCTAGTCCTTATTTTGTGTGTTTCTATCATGTTCTCTTCACTGTCTGTGTCCTGTTTTCCAATTTCTTTCACATGGAAGTCTCCCAAAGCCAGTGTGTGGAACAGCTGATCCCAAAGTCCTGTTCTGTCTCCTCCCCTTGTTCCCAGGACCTGTGCAGGGGGCTGCCTGAGACTCTAGCAAGCACTGAACTCGGGGAAGACAAACAATACCTAGCAACGCTGATGAGGACAGCTTACCCTTTGGACAGAGGCTACTTCTTGGTTGCCAAAATGGAATGTGTGTGTAAATAGCACTAAATTGCTTCTTTCCTGTCACTTCTAGGCAATTCCGAGTCCATAAACTGCTGTCAGATTGTGTTCCAGGCGGGATCAAGAAGTGAACTAATTAGCAGACTGCTTGGAGCGTTAGCAGGGCTGCACGAGAGAAAACTGCCAGTGGAAATTTACCGGCCGCTTCCTCTCTGCCACGCCCAGCATTGCCACAGAAGCTTCCCTCTTATCGGAACCTAATTGTCTGGAAACTTGACTCTCCTGTCCCTTAGCTGCATGTTTCATGTGTGATCACTAATTGGCTCTCAGCCTGCGTGCTCCCCAACCCCAGCTCTCTCTTGGGGTGGCCAGAAGCCAGGGATGGGTTAACAGGTGCCAGTTTGACATGCTGAGCAATGGATCCTGGCTAGTTCTGGTGCAGGACGCGCCTCTGGCCAACTTCTCCCAGGGAGTTCTGTGCTGCACAGTAGCTGGTCCCTCAGGGGAAGCGGGGGTCAACTTACGGTACATCAAGCCCAAGCTGCTGCTTCCCTCACTCTGAAGTTAGTGTGATGTTGCCAACTGTGAGGCAAACAGCGACAAGGTTCAGCTGTGGGAACTAACAAAGGTGGTTCCCTCGGGGTAGCCTTAAGGTGGAAGAATTCAAAACCTACCCTCGCAAAAGCCCAAGGCAGCAGGTGCCTGTTGTAGGCAGAAAGCCAGGGCTATGGAAGTGCGACTGTCTGCCTCCCAGGGTCCCCAGAGTTCCATGCAGCAGCCTCCTGCTTTGTATGATGTCACCGAGTTGCTGTGTAGGGCGGATGCTGCTCTGTCCTACCTCAGCTGGGAGTGGGAGGATAAACAGTAGATGGAGACGTGCTCGGGCAGGCTCCGGGAGCCCCTTCCCTCAGGCTCCAGGCCACACTCACTAGTGAATGCACAGGGGTGCTTTGGGGGATGTCTTTCTCAGGGCTTTTCTAGCTGCATTGTCAGGTGACCAGAATTGCTTCCAGCCTGGAGTAATTACTCGGGAATAAAATCACTTTGATTCTGGAATAGCATCTACAAGCGGCGCTAGTTCAGAATAGTTTATTACCCCATCGATTCTAGTCCATTTCCCTGGGCAGACCTGGCCAGAGCTGCTCTCCAGCCAGGCAGGCTCTTAAGGCGAGGTCGGACCGTAGGACTTTCCCCAGATCCATTTTAATAAATGCTCAAGGATGCTCTTGAGCCTGGTCTCTGTGGATTTTCCTGGGAGTTCTCCCTTCTGCCCACTGCAGGCTGTGGTTCTGGTATCTGCAATACCCTCAGCCGTGGGTCAGGGGCCTGCTGCTAAGGGGGACAGTAGCATTAGAAGGAGACCCAGAGCTTGTGTGCAGCCAGGCAGGGTGTGAATCTACAGGGCCCCGTTGTGACGCGCACGAACGTCCCATAAAGGCCAACCCTGAGCAAAACCCAGCAGCTCCTGTATCTGTTCACTTCAAAACGCTTCCGGCCTCCCTGGGTTCTGCCCGCCAGCCCTCGGGTGCCTCCCCTCGCGTGGTGCAGGGCACTTGTCTCCATAAGCGGCTTCTGTTGATATGCCAAGATGACACCAAGGGTCCCCATCTCGGTCTGGCTCTGCCCGGGTTACAGCCCTGCGAAACAGGGCAGCAGTGGGGCTGGGGGTTAGGCCCTGGAGCACTGCTAATGGGACCAGGCGCCTTTCCCCCAGCTAGGCCTTCGCTGCCTCCCTCGGCTCACGCAGCAGGAAAACGGCTCCGTGCGGCGGAACGGCCTGCGGCCGAGTGGTCAGGGCTCCTTGCAGAAGCCTGGGGCAGCTCTCACTTTTCACCGGGGGGGGCTTCTCAGGGTGGTTTCTAAGTGCTGCTGTTGGCGAGGTCACGTTGGTCTCCATGGACACGGGCCGGGGGTGACGCTTTGCCAGAAGGCAGCGCGTGCTGGTGCTGGTGTTCAGAAGAGGGCTGGGGAAGCGAGCGATGCTGCTGGCCTCGCCGCGATGCTGGAAAAGCAGAAGCCAGGGAGCCCCTGCTCACGTGCTGCTCCGGCAGGGAGGGGGGAGCCGGCGCGGTGGGACAGGAACAATGGGGGGAGTCGTGGGAGGGGGTAAAAAGGGGAAGCAGTGGAAAAGTACCAGCTCCAGGCCCCCTGGCCAGGACTTTCAGAGCCAAGATCCTGGTACAAAGCCATGGTTTTGTTTCAAGCCCTTGCTGAGGGTCTGGAATTCCAGCGCTCAGGCCGTTCTGTCCTTCATCTGCCCACCGGCGCCAGCATTGTGCAGCGGGGGCCAGCGGCCCAGGCTTCCTCGGCGGGGCCGCAGCTTCTCCAGGCCCCTTTCCCTCGTTTACTGCTCGCGCGTGGGATGCTTTCCTCCCAGGGCCACGGAGCCGACCAGCGAGCAGCAGGATCTCTCCCAGGAGCGCTGGCCTGGGAAGCTTTCCTCTGCAAGCTGCTGGGGATGCTAGAGAAGCAAATGGGGGGGTAGCAAAAGGCAGAAGAACAGGGGCTGTTGAGGTGAAAGGGGTCTGCACTGAGCTCCTGATAAATCTCTGCCCAGGCTTCCTACGCCCGGCCTCCCCCCGCTACTGTGGGACTTGTGGCCAGTGCTCGTAGCCCAGGGCTGCCCAAGGGGTCACTGTCGCGGGGCGCTGGCCCCTTTTCCAGCATCCCAACCTCTCCCTCAGAACGAGCTCCGAGGGCTGCAGAGGCTGCTGGGTGACAGGGTTTTGCTGAGTGCAACATGGCCACCAGCCCTGCTCCAGCTACCAAGACTCGGCTGTGGGCTGGAGCCAGCCCTAAGCTCTTTGCTAGACCTGGCCCTGTGGCGCATGCATGGCTTGCAAACTCTGCATTTGCCTTTCCTGAAGCGGGGGGGCAGGATTTTTTTGCACCCCCCCCCCCCCCCGGGGGGTTGGGGGGGGGGGGGGGGGCTGGGGCTTTGTCTGATACGCAACTCGACCCCCCCCAAAAAAAAACGTGGGGGGCGGCCCCCTGCCGGGGGGGGCCCCCCCCCCCCCCCCGGCACCGGCTGTGAGGGGTGATCGCCCGGTCCGTCAGGACAGTGGGTCCCAGGGGGTGCTGGGCACTGATGCGGCCTGGGGGCTGCCAGCCTCACATCCCTCGGGATGTGTGCGTGTGTGGACAAGGTGGGCCGGTGCCTACAGCTGCTGGGCAGGGGGTGGGGTGCCCACCTCCGGGGGCAAAACCCAGGGCATTATGGGCGAAGCCTGAGCCCATCACGCGGCCCAGCTGGCAGCATGTTTTGGCTGGATGTGTTTCAGCACATGCCACAGTGGTTAATTGCTGGAGACTCCAGGACCATCCTGGAGGGTTGGCACCCGGGCAGCTGCCTCAGAAAAGGGGCGATCCTGGGAAAGCCTGTGAGCGCTGCGTGGGGCAGGTCCCCCAGGCACTGCCACATGGGGGGGGG